AGCCAAAAGCAACCCTTAACTGACTGAGCCACCCAGGCATCCTTGTAAGTATCATTTTTTCCAGTTATTAATACTGATAACTTAGCTTTTTAAAAATGTGATCTTTACAAGTGCTCTCTAAGGTAGGATGGGTACTAACTTTCTTGGCCCAGAGAGTCCCCATTAAATGCTGGGTATTTCTACCCCCATTTTATAGATGGAGACTGGGTCTCAGAGAGATGAACTATCAAGCAGGTGTTCAAACCCACATCACCTTCTTCCAGCTGCAAAACTCTTCTCACACCACCAGTCCTCCTCAACTGCTATGTGCTTTTCTGGGTTGCAAATAATCTCCTCCCCCCACCTCAACTTTTCATTTGAACTTCCTTCTCTTTTTAAGTATGGAACTCACAGTCTGCACATTAATGGCTTAAGAAACATCAGTACATTAATACATGATATATTAGCAATGTGCTAAACAAAGACTTAAAATATGAAACAAAACCAATCAATTTCCCAAACTCTCCCCTCATTTCTCACTCTCCTTAAATAAATGGCCCAATTCCTCACCACCCCGGAATTACCCACACACCTTAAAATATATATATATATTTATAGCTTTTAAAAGCCTTTCCCAGCCCATCTTTCCTCTTCCACTGGGCACTTTTAGTCTCACTGCTGGTGGCAGGTCTAAGGGATCCCACTGAGATACCGTCATTTATTAAACTCTGGTGGGGTTTATGCCAGAAAGAGGGAGCAGTTGGGAGATGATCAGATGGTTGATTATTTCTGTTCTTGCAGGGATTCCTGCGATGTCTAAATGGGGCATCTCTCTATCAGAAGGGGCCCCCAAATGTGGGGTGACAATCGGGTGGAAGTCGGTGGCATGGGAGGTGGAAGAACTCACCTGAGCCAGATCAAAGGAGATAGACGTTTATTGGACACACCCCAAGGGAGCAGTGGGCAGGACAGCAGAGAATATACTGTCTGCAAAGAGGCAGTGGGTAGGCGCTGTTTTTAAAAGGAAAAAATGAGGAGTTATGGCAACGTATGGAATTCTGCCTTGTTTTGGTAATAACTGTGCCTGGTTGTAAGTAGCCCATTGGTCCGTTAGGGCCTGTGGATATTTTTGAGGTGGGTCTCCTGATGGGCCTGTCTGTATTCAGCCGGAGGGGGGGGGTGTCCCTGTGGACCCTCTCTACCTTCCATCACTCAAGCTTGTTTGCCTAAAAGCACCCTCTATGATTCCCTTTATTCTGGATTTTACTGCAAGAGTCAGTGAGGGAATCCCCACCTCCCCCCGACGACCACCACTATAATGCTAGCCGCTCATACTGGATGGTTGTGGACAAAGACTCATGTGAACTCAGAACAGTGAAGCTCTCAGTATCTGAGAAGTGTTGGAAACAGCTCCAATCTTAAAAATCTCCAGCTGCATTTTGAGGAGGGGTAGTATCACACAGCAACCAGTCACACTGAAGTAATCACTGTGTTGGGCAACTCTTCCACTTGATTCCTGCCTACCAACATTCATTCCCAATGGTAGAACAATATTCAAGAAGGTAAGTGTAAATACCTCTCCCTAAGCCTACAAAATATAAAAGGACCTAATTAAAAATGAAACCCAGAACACCTATGAATACATAGAAAAAGGGTTTTTTTGCTTTTGCTCTGTTTTTGTCTCCTGTGCTCTAAATAAATGTAGTAAAATAAAAGCCAAAAAAACCTTAGCATTTACTACATGCTTTGTGCCAGGCATGTCTTAAGACCTTTAAACCTTACAACTGCCTTTTTAAAGATGAGGAAATTGACTTTCAGGGAGGTTCAGGAACTAGCTCAAGGTCCGAGTTGTTAAAGCAGGTATTTAAATCCAGGCAGCTGGACTCGAGGTCCAAGATCTTAACTATTCTTTGATACTATTTGCCAAGATGCCCAGATGTTATTTGCCTATGAGAATTTAAATACAAAACTATAGTCTCTTTCCATTTGCAAAAAGAAACAGAAACTCTTGTTCAAAAACAGTTTAAATAAAAAGAGGGATTTAATGGCTTCTATCAGTAAGCTGGAGAGTGGGGTGAATCCAAGGACTTGAACACAGAATTCTCTGTGTTTGCAATGCATGTCAGTTACATTCTTTCAGATTACCTTGTGGGGGACCGCATGTTGGGGAAGCTTCAGTTTCATATTCTAAGATTAGCCCAGAGAGGATAAAATTCATCCCTGCTGGCTCCAGTAAGAAAAATTCCTGCGGAAGATTCCGATTGGCCCAATTTAGCTCACGTGGCCTGGAGGGTTGGGACTACACTAAGAGAGAAAGTTACTAGAGAGAAAATACAACAGAGCTGCTGTATTACATAACATGGCTATACCACTTGGTAGCTTCCAAAACGCTCTCATGATTCAACCACCTGTGAAGAGGGCACACGGTATTTTCGTACAAGTAGTATTAAAATAATGGTGATAGATTCAGGATGGCCACAAATTCTTTGTCACTCTCTCTATTGAGGGATGTGGTTCATCTCCCCTCACCGAAATCTGGGGGCTTGCCCTATGATATTTATCAAAATGAGGCTGAACTTACTGTAACTACTTATCAGTTTTGTCTTTGAAAGTCCCTGCACCTTCCACTTTCTTTCTCTGGGAAAGCTCACATTGAGGATATTCCCTCTTAAATCCAGCTAGTAAGAAATCAACCCACAAGGAAAGGCCACAAGAAGGCATTCCATTCAACAGTTCCAGCTGAGCTTTCAACTGACAGACAGAGTCAATGCCAGCCACAAAGAGTGAACCATTGTGGACATTCTAGTGTGGTTTGACTGACAACAACAGAGAATCAAAACAGAAACTAGGGCTCATTGGCTTAGTGTCCTGCAGCTAGAAATCTCAAGTTGGGATGCTAAACCAGATGTTCTAACTCTAAGTCCACTGCACTTTCTTTGATTCCTTATTGCCTTCCATTAAAAACAGAACAAGCCTTAATTCAAAGTCTCCAATTGTAGAATTTCTGCCTAGGATGCAGGTTGGGGAAGGGGAGCATATCATTCACTCAGCAAACATTTACGAAGATTTATGTGGCCAGTAACTGAACAAATGCACTACTGGTTCTTGAGGAACTGAGTCTAATCAATAGAGAGCCCCATAAATAGCTCATTTCAATAAGAACTGGTAAGTGCCATGATGGAAAAGGTGCAGGGTGCTTTTGAAAAACAAGGTGGACACTAAACCTAGCCCACAGCCTGAAATAATGGGCACATCTTTTGTTGGGCGTAAGAGGGTATCTCTGAGTCTATGTTGAGGATGTTGAAGACTATATTTAGAATGAATACAATTGTCCATCAGGATAAATGTGAACTGGAAATGGGGAAGGCACACAGGGAGGAAATATTCTAGTATTTAGGATAAGGACAGGAATTCTAGCCCTGGTTCCACCCTTCACTTATATGTGCTTTTGGCCAAGTCACTGAATTCCCCCTTAATTCATCTTTGTTGTTTGCAAAGGTGAGGTGGGGTCACACTATCTCTTCAGGTACTTGGACAGTTCCTTTCTCCAGCTCCCTTTAAGTTTTGATGTTCCTTAGGGTTTGGTCCATAGTTCATTGCTCTTCTCACTCTGCAAATCCTCACTAAGTGATCTTATCTACGATGGCTTTGGTTGTCACTCATACGGAAATGATACCCAAGTCTAAATGCCACCCCAGTTCTGTGGGCTGTCTACCACTGTAGTCATCTGCTTACTGCACAACACAAAATGTTCCACACCTAAGTAAAGTTCAGTATGTCCAGAGCTGAGCTCGTCACCTTGCCCACTTAACTGACTCCCACTTCTGCTTTCTCCCTTGGTTGGTAGCACCACCTTTAACATTGTTAGTAGCCTGTGAGGTTAACTTCACTCTCAACTTTTCCCTCAACCTCACATGCAATCCTTTGTCAGTATTACTAGTTTTACCTCCTAAATATTTCTACAATTCATCCTTTGTCTATATCCCATAAATAGTTCATATTCAAAATATTCAAAGCATAACTCGTTACTCCCCCTTCCCCCAACCCTGCTCCTATTCCTGAATTCTAGCAGGATGTTATCCCCATCCACTCAGTTGCTAAATATGGAACTTGGGCATCATGGTTGATTTCTCCCTCTCCTTTGCTTTCCATAGCCAGGTAGCTGCCAATTTCTGATGTTTGGCCTCGTTTGCGATCATCTTTCACTTCCTATAGTTGTATCCTAATTGGTTTCCCTGACTTCAGCCTTCATAACCTCTGGCCTCTTCTCCACCACCATGCCAAATCTCATCACGTCAGCAACTTCCCTCTTCCCCCCTCCCCATATTCTAATTCTTAGATTCTTGCCATGTTTTACCTCCAGCCTACAAAATCTAGGATGGGAGCCTTAATGCATTTACCCTTGTCTCCCCTGAACCTACCACACTGTACTTGGCACATACTAGTTGCTCAATAAATATGAACCTGCTCTCATCCCCTCTCTGATTATAGTTTATAGTAAACCGTGACATGGTGCAGATGTGTGCAGGAGGCACACCCTATCACAATATGGTTCACTGCTGTACGAGCCGGAGCCCCTTGACGAAAGCCATGACACTGACTGCAGAATAACAGAACCAAATGAATTCTACAGTCAATGCACAAAAGGACACCTATCCCAAGGCATCTTCATAATAGGGCCTAAAACTAAAGTCACCCTCAATTCTCTGGGCAAATATTTCCCCCTTTCTGGACCTCTGTCTCCTGACGTGTAAAGCAGGCACAGCGACAGAGAGGCAGTAAACCTCCGAGCCTCGGCAGGTTTGAGAAATAATGGACCGCTACGTAGGGCTGGGCGTGTGCGCGGGCTTTTCCGGCGCGGCCGTCCCAGCGGCCCTTGCGGGAGGCGGGACTAGCCCGATTCCCGCCGCTTGGCCCCGCCATTGGCGGGCGGTTTGAATGACGGAAGTGACGGGAGCTTGGCGATGGCTGCCCCGCAGGCGCACAAACGGCTGTTGGGAAGCTGGTGGGCCGCGGGCGCCCGGGAGGTCTCCGACTGAGCTGCGGTTCCTGATTCCGGGCCCCCGGTTTTCAGGTGAGTGACGGACCAGCCGGCTTCCCGTGGCCCGGGCGTGCACCACCTCCCGAAGTCCAGGAGCTGGGGGGTGTGCTCCCCAGGGAGGGGATGCCGTGAAGGCGCGGCGTCGGGAGCGCGGCGCGGCCCGGGCCCTGGCTGGGGTCGGGCTGGCGGCGATAAAGAGTGCGGGGAAGGGAGGTGCGTCCCGACGCAGACCCGCTGCTTGCTGCGAGAGGCTGCTCCCGGGCTTTAGGCGCGTGTGGCCTTGCGCGCCCTCCCCAGGTGGGGTCGCGCAGGGTCCTTGGGCTTCCTAACCGGGGCTGGCCGGGAGGGCCTCCGGGGCTGCTCCCGCAAGCGCTTCGCGAGGCGTCCAGCCCACTCTTTCCCCAGGGCCCCCAGCCAACCCGCCGAACTTGTCCTGAAACCCGGGAGCCGTTTAAGAGCACTGCCTGGAATTATTTCTTGCAGAGAGCGAGCGTGCTTTTTTGCTCTCACCTTTAATTTCTCAGGTAGTTAGTCCTGCCACAAGCTGAGCTTTTAAAACAGTGGGGAACATTTGAGTCCTTAATCCTTAGAGAGTATTTGGCAGTTTCATATTAAGTCACGTAATCATCAGAACAACCTGTTGGGGTAGATGTTGTGATTCCCATTATATAGTTTAAGAAAGCGACACCACAGTAACTTAAATGACTTGGTCAGTATTTTCCTGCTGTAAATGGTCGTGATGAGTCTTGAACAGAGATTGTCTAAGTTCAGTATTTTGTGATTGTGATATGCCAAGTGCTGTTTAATTCTCAGGACAAAATCTTAAAAGGTAAGTTCATATCATCTGTTACTGGGTAGTATTAATACACAGAATTTAAAAATCCCTACTGATCTGAATAAATGGCTTAATAAATGAGAGAGCGAGCAGGGGAAGCTCTTCCTCACAGTAGGATTCCAATTGATAAGTGTAGAAGGAATAGTGAAGATAGAAAATGCTTTTTGGTAAATGTTATAGTTAATGCATTAGACATTAACATCACCAGTAGTGTTAAGACACCATAACGTAATTTAGTGCACTGAGAAATGGTACGTCATCACTTCTTTGGTGTTCTTGCCAAAAATTTGTAATCTCAATCTAACCACAAGAAAAGATTAAGTAAATCCAAATTGAGGGACATTCTACAAAGTAACTGGCCAGTATTTTTTAAAAGTCGGGAGGTTGAAAAGAAAGGCACAGACTGAAGAACTGTCCCAGATTAGAGAAGTCCAGGGAGATGTGACAATTTTGACAGCTGTGAGAATGTAATTCACAGAGCTGCAGCTCCCATTTTCTGAAATCCATTTGCATGGATGCTTCCCAAGGGCTGTTTTTGGCCAATGACTGAATATGGCGTGGACATTCAGGCAGGCCTATTCCTAAGAAACTAGGGACTTTCCCTTAACTCTGGGAGGTCTTACTAAAGACCTTACTGGGTAGTCATCTTCCCAACTTTCCCTTCTTCCGTTCAGTGTCATATTTGCATGGAAGTCTGAATGCTCCCTCTTTACTAGCTCCCTCATTTTCCCTCACACAGGCATTTCTCCTAATAAAATCTTCGGGGGTTTAATCCTGTCTTGTCCTCTGCTTCTTGGAAGACCCAGAATAACACAACAGTCGAAAGCAATGGGTTGTCCTTGGATTGGGTCCTGGTCCAGAAAATGGATGTTAGTGGGATACTTGACAAAATTTGAATAAAGTCTGTAGATTAGTTAGAAGTATTGTGCTAGTGTCAGTTTCTTGGTTTTGATCATTGTGCTGTGATTGATGTTTAGAGAAGCTGGGGAAAGAGTAGGTGGGAATTCTAAGTCTGAAATTATTTCCAAATAAGTTAAAAAAATTAAGGAAGTTATATGCAAGAGAAAAATTATTCTACCACACCTCAGGAGGTAAAAGTAACAAATCTATGTTTCCTTATAATCCCCAAGCAAATGAGATGATAGATACGCACAACAATCTGAAAAAAACAGGTTTTTTTCCCCTTTCTTATTGAGGTATAAACTTAAAACACACAAATCTAAGTGTATCATTTGAGGAATTTTACATATGTATACAGCTGTGTAATCGTAACAGATCAAAATGCAGATCATCTCTAGCATCCCTGCAGGCTCATTTGTGCCCCCTTCTAGTCATTAACCTACAGAAAGGTGACCCCTGTTTTAACCCATGTCATCATGGATTAGTCTTGTGTGCTTGTTTTTGTACTTCGTGTAAATGGAATTTTACAGTATGTTCTCTTTTTTGTCCTTTTTTCCCATGATACTTTGTCTATGAGATATAGCAGGAATTAGTTTTGTTAGTTTGAATATGAATTCAAAGACCTTCAGAAAAATTATTAAGACTGAGTTTAACCTTGGTCATTTTCTCTTCTTTGTTCAGTCTTTCCTTATTCATCAATCCCCACTAGCAAAAGATACCAGTTTAAACAAAAATTTCCTCATTCCACATGTTTTAGCATATCAGAAAGTTAGGAGCCATATGGAATAAGAAAACCAGATTCTTCTTTTGGATCTGGGATTAGATCCTGTCACTTAGGTCAAGTCCTTTAGCACAAGAGGCCTTTGATTCTTCATTATAAAATGAGGAAGACAGCTAGCACTTTACCTACTGTTACTTACTGGAAAAGATTTTCAGATCTTTTTCAGCAATTATTTCTTTTGGGCAAAAGAGTCCAATTGTCCCTATTAGATAACTTTAAGTCCTCGTAGCCCAAAATAGTATCTGTCCATAGTATGTGAAATACTGCCTGATAGTTGTTATTTGTTAAATTAACTTGAATATTAAAACTATAACCTCTGTCCTTCAGTTGTTAGGAATCTAGCTAGAAAAGTCACAGTGTAATTGATGAAAAATTAGGGCAAAGTAATACCAAGACAGCATTAGATTGGTCCCCAAATTGAGTGTGAAGATAATGTGCATTCTGGGTGGGCAAGTCAGGAATGAGATGGTGGGTAGGTGAAGCAAAAATTACTAGAGGACAGTTTCATGAATGAGTGGAGCTTCAGCTAGCTTCAGAAAGATGTAAGTATCCATGTTGTAATCTAGAGAGGAGAGTGAAAACATCTGAATATCAGTGGCATTAATAGATCTGAGGACCTAAACACCTGACTCATGTGAGCAACACAATCATCTCAGAGAAATTTTTAAAGTGGTCATGGATCTGAAACAATCACACCATTGTAATTATTAAAGAATTGTTGAGGGGTTGATGTGATTCCATATGATACAGTGACACTTGGTCATCAAGTTATAAACAATAGACTGGGAGTTCAAACTAGGGACTAGGAGCCCTTTGCAATTGCAGCAGTCCTGTTGGTTGTGAACAAGTTCTCAAAGTTCTAAAGTGTAAAATTGTGATACTGAAAACATTTATTCTTAGCTAAAACACGTTTTTAAGTTTTTGTGCTTTTTTACATTTAATGTAGTTAAACTCTGGAAATCCCAGTGGGAAGTAAGTCAGGTCCCAGGTACTGTAGGTAAACAATACTCTGCTGTCATGGGGCAAAAACTTTTTCAAGTACTTCTGGTTCACCCTCCACTTAACCCCTTCTCCCAATTTGAGAATCATCGACTTAAGTGCTGAAGTTAATAATTGTAATTTGTAAATATAAGTTGGCCTCAGTTTATCCAAATTATTTTGTGTATATATAGTCCTTTAAATGTCAAGTAGTAAGTATATTTTATTCTATTTTATTTTTTTAAAGATTTTATTTATTTATTTGACAGAGATCACAAGTAGGCAGAGAGGCAGGCAGAGAGATAGAGAGAGAGGAGGAAGCAGGCTCCCTGCTGAGCAGAGAGCCCGATGTGGGGCTCGATCCCAGGACCCTGAGATCATGACCTGAGCTGAAGGCAGAGGCTTTAACGCACTGAGCCACCCAGGCGCCCCAGTAAATGTATTTTAAACGTTGTTCTGATCTTTGCTGCCCTGTTTTAATAGACTTTTTTTTAAAATTCAGAAACTTTAAAGTACCTGGAAATGAAAAGAAAGGTAGGGAATGCTGGCAAGCTGAGACTGAGTCCTAATGAGGAAGCTCACATTTTAAAGGAAGATTATGAAAGACGACGAAAACTAAGATTGCTGCAGGTAAGATTCATCTGGAACAAGATTTCTAATTCTTTGTCTTCCCCAAATTATTAGTGTTTTTATTACAGTAGAGAGTTCTGAATGTTGCACTTAAAACCCTTTTCTGGTTGTTTAAGAGCCCTGGTTCTTGTGTACTAACAAGTTTAGGAAAATTTGAAAAAAATGGGCTGAAATGGTAAACAGATGAAGAAGAGTTTGAAGACAGGGATTATTTGACTTGATAATTACTGGAAAATGGTTCTTTAAACATTTTCCAGACTACATGTTACTGATGAAGATTAGAGTAGGAAGATAAGAATGGCTTTGAGGAAGACTTGCTGGAAAGATTATTAGTTGCTGTAACATTTATTAAGTTGTAGATTATTTTCTAGAAGTCTTTTCAGAGTAATATAGTTAAGCCCTTGTGAAACATGTTTTAGGGGCCATTCTATCTAAAATTGGGGATGATGTACCGCAAATACGGACTTTTCATCTGGCTCTATCTATACTTACCTGGGCTATAAATTTTATTCTTTTTAAATTTTTTTTAAGATTTCGTTTATTTGAGAGAGAGTGAGCAAGGGAGTGAGAGAACACCACTGGGAGGAGGGTCAGAAGGAGAGGGCGGAAACAGACTCCCCACTGGGCAGGGGAGCCTGACACAGGGCTTGATCTTGGGATTCCAGGGTCATGACCTGAGCCAAAGGCAGTTGCTTAACCAACTGACCTGCCCAGGCACCCCTGTGCTATAAATTTTATTGAACATCCTTACCAATTTAAGCTTTTACAGTTATTACAATGATAATGGTAGTCCTGTTGGTGCTTGGGTTGAAGAGGAGAGGACAATAGCTAATAAGTTAGAGAAGTTTAGAAGTAGTCTTGAGATTTTAACTTATTTATATTGCTTGATTTTCCACTTTACGTAGGCCTTATTGATACACCTGAGGAGAATTCATTTAAGTTCCTCCTTCCAAATAGCTTTCCAAAAAAACTTGAAGTAAGCCTCTTTTCATATAATCTGTTAAATATGCATTCTTTAGGTTCGAGAACAAGAAAGGGGTATCGCTTTACAGATAAGAGAAGACATAAAACAGAGGAGAAATCAGCAATTAACTCGTTTGGCAGAGGAACTAAGGACAGAATGGAAAGAATCACAAACTCAGAAAATAAAGAACTTGGAAAAGCTGTATTTGGCAAGTTTAAGAAGTATGGGAGAGGGACACCAACATGCCAAAGAAAATGTGAGTGAGTGCTTATTTGACCTGTCTGGTAGTGGGTATGAGTAAAAAGTACGTTGTTTGTGGTATGCATGCATGTATAGGATTTATTTTGGCCAGCCTGAACTTCTTTATGTTTTCTACAATTATTTTTTTAAATTATAGTTGACATTCAGTATTATATTAATTTTAGGTGCACAACATAGTGGTTCAGCAATTACATACGTTATGCAGTGCTCATCCTGATAAATGTAGTTACCAGCTGTCAACATACAAAGTTATTACAGTACTGTTGACCATATTCCCTATGCTGTGCTTTCCATTCCTGTGACTTATTTCAAAGCGAGAAGTTTGTACCTCTTAATCCCCTTCACCTATTTCACCCATCCTTTGCCTGCTCACCTTTGACAACCACCATTCTCTGTTAGTTGGTTTTTTGTTTGTTCATTTGTTTTGTTTTTTACAAGTGAAGTCTTAAGGTATTTGTCTTTCTCTGAATTATTTTACTTAGCACATTACCTATAAACTCCACTATACTGTCGCAGATGGCAAGATCTTTTTTTTTTTTAATGACTGAGTGATATTCCATTGTATATATACACACCTTATCTTCTTTTGGGCTGCTTCCATAATTTGGCTATTATAAATAATGCTGCAACAAATATGGGGGTGCAGGGGCGCCTGTTTGGCTCAGTTGGTTAAGTGTCTGTGTTTGGCTCAGGTTATGATCCCAGGATTCTGGGATCAAGCCCGGCTTCCCACTTCTGCTTCTTCGGGCTTTCTGCTCAGTGAGGAGTCTGTTTCTTCCTCTGCCTCTGCACTTGCCCCTCAAATAAATAGAATCTTAAAAAAATATATGGAGGTGCATATATCTTTTCAAATTAGTGTTTTCATTTTTTTTGGGTGAATACCCAGCAGTAGAATTACTAGATTGTTTGGTATTTTTATTTTTAATTTTTTGAAGAACCTCTGTACTGTTTTCCACAGTAGCTGCACCAATTTACATTTCCACCAACAGTGCAGAAGGATTCCCTTTTCTCTATATCCTCACCAGCACTTGTTATTTCTTTTTTATTATTGTTATTTTATTTTTTATTTTTTTATTTTTTATTTGACAGAGAGAGATCACAAGTAGATAGAGAGGCAGGCAGGGGGGCGGGGGTGGGGGGAGAGCAGGCTCCCTGTTGAGCAGAGAGCCCGATGCAGGACTTGATCCCAGGACCCTGAGATCATGACCTGAGCCGAAGGCAGAGGCTTAACCCATTGAGCCACCCAGTTGCCCCGTTATTTCTTTTTGATACTAGCCATTCTGACTGGTGTGAGGTGGTATCTCATTGTGGTTTTGATTTGCATTCCTTTAATTTGTGATGTTGAGCATTTTCATGTGTCTGTTGGCCAGCCATTTGTCTTCTTTGGAAAACAATTCTGATCCTCTGCTCATTTTGAAATTGGATTATTTGATATTTGTTGTTTTGGGTTATATGAGTTATTTATGTATTTTGTATATTAATGCATTATCTGATATATCATTTGCAGGTACCTTCTCCAATTCAGTAAGTTGGGTTTTTTGTTTCTTTGTTTGTTTTGATGTTCTCCTTCATTGTGAAAAAGCTTTTTAGTTTGATGTAGTCCCAGTTGTTTATTTTTGCTTTTGTTTCCCTTGCCTGAAGAGACAAATCCAGAAAAATAATGCTGACTGATTCTAAGAAACTGCTACTTACATTTTCTTTACATAATTTAATGGTTTCAAGCCTTACACTTAGGTCTTTAATCCATTTTGGGTTAATTTTTGTGTATGTTATGAGAAAGTGGTCCAGTTTAATTCTTTTGCATGTAGCTGTCCAGTTTTTCCAGCACTGTTTATTGAAGAGGCTGTCTCTTCTTCATTGTATGTTTTTGCCTCTCTTGTTGCTGATTAATTGACCATATAAACATGGATTTATATCTGGGCTCTCTGTTGTTGACATAGAGACATGGATCTCGGTGTCTGTTTTTGTGCTAGTGCCATACTGTTTTGATTACTATATCTTTGTAATACAGTTTGAAATCAGCAAGTGTGATGCCTCCAGGTTTGTTCTTCTTTCTTAAGATTGCTTTGGCCATTTGGGGTCTTTGTGGTTCCATGTAGATTTTAGGATTATTTGTTCTAGTTCAGTGGAAAATAACTATTGATATTTTGTTAGGGATTGCATTGACTCCGTAGATTGCTTTGGATTGTATGGACATTTTAACAAATGAGTTCTTCCAGTCTGTGAACATTGAATATCTTTCCATTTATTCGTATCTTCAATTTCTTTCACAGTGTTTTTTAATTTTCAGAGTACAGGTCTTTTCACCTCAATTAAATTTATTCCTAGGTATTTTATTCTTTGTGATGTAATTGCAAATGGGATTATTTTCTTAATATCTTTTTCTGCTACTTTGTTATTAATGTATAGAAATGCAACAAATTTCTGTATATTAATTTTGTGTCCTGCAACTTTACTGAGTTCATTTATCGTAATAGCTTTTTGGAGGAGTCTTCAGGGTTTTCTATATGTAAAACCATGTCATCTGCAAATAGTGACAGTTTTATCTCTTCCTTTCCAGTTTGGATACCTTTATTACTTTATTACTCTGTGGCTAGGAATTTCAGTACTGTGTTGAATAATAGAGTAGACTTCTTGTTTTGTTTCTGATCTTAGAGGAAGAGCTTTCAACTTTTCACAGTTGAGTATGATGTTAGCTGTAGGTTTCTCATAAATGGCCTTAATTATGTTGAGATATGTTCCCTCTGAGCCTATTGTGTTGAGAGTTTTTATCATGAATGGATGTTGATTTTTGTCAAATGCTTTACCTGCTTCTAATGAAATTGATCTTATGGTTTTTGCCCTTTGTTTTGTTAATGTGGTATATCTCATTAATTGAGTTGTGGTTCTTGAACCATCCTTGCATTCCTGGAATAAATCCATGATTATGGTGAATGATCCTTTTAATGTATTGTTGAATTCAGTTTGCTGATATTTTGTTGATTTTCGCATCTATGTTCATCAGGTATAGACGGATCTGATTTTCTTTTTCTGCATTTTTTGTCTGGTTGTGGTATCAGGATTATGCTGGCCTTGTAGAATGAATTTGGAAGCATTCCTCTCTCTTCTTTTTAATGGAATAGTTTGAGAAGGGGTCAGTATTAACTTCTTAAAATGTTCAATAGAATTTACTGGAAGTCATCTCGTCCTTGACCTTTATTTATTGGGAGTTTTTTTATTATTGAGTCAATTTTATTGCTAGTCATCAGTCTGTTCATATTTTCTATTTCTTCCTAATTCAGTCTTGGAAGATTGTTTCTGGGAATTTATTCATTTTTTTCTAGGTTGTCCAATTTGTTGGTGTATCATTTTTCATAGCAGTCTCTTCTAATCCTTTGTTTTTCTGTGGCATAACTTCTCTTTCAAATTTTATTTTTATTTTTTTATTTTATTTTACTTTTTAAAGATTTTATTTTTTTATTTGACAGAGAGAGACATAGTGAGAGAGGGAACACAAGCAGGGGGAGTGGGGGAGGGAGACCAGGCTTCCTGCTGAGCAGGGAGCCCGATGGTGGATTGATCCCAGGACCCTAGGATCATGACCTGAGCCATAGGCAGACACTTACCAACTGAGCCACCAGCCTATCAAATTTTATTTGAATGAACTTTTTTCTTGAGGAGTCTGGCAAAATGTTTCTCAATTATGTCTCTCTCTTCAAAAAACAAGCTTAGTTTCATTGATCTTGTTTATTGGTTTTTTTCCCTTTAATCTCTGTTTGATTTATTTCCATCCTTATCTTTATTTCCTTCCCTTTACTACCTTTGGACTTTGCTGTTTGTTTTTAGTTCCTTTAGATATAAGTTTGGTTACTTATTTGAGATTTTTTTGTTTCTTGAGAGAGGCCCATATTGCTATAAACTTCCTTCTTAGAACTGGTTTTTCCACATCCCAAAGAATTTAGACCATTGTGTTTCCATTTTCATTTGTTTCTATGTATTTTTTTTTTTAATTTCTTTGATTTCTTTGTTATCCTTTGTTGTTTAATAGCATGTTATTTTCCATTTGTTTGGTGGGTTTTTTTTTCCTTCAGTTTATTTCTTAAAGATTTTATTATTATTTATTTATTTTATTTATTTGACAGAGAGAGAGGGAACACAAGCAGAGGGAGTGGGAGAGTAAGAAGCAGGCTTCCTGCTGAGCAGGGAGCCTGATGTGGGGCTGGATCCCAGGACCCTGGGATCTTGACCTGAGCCAAAGGCTGACTGAGACACCCAGGTGCCCCTCAATATTTTTCTTGTAATTGATTTCTAGCTCCATACTGTTGTGGTTGGAAAAGCTCCTATTATGATTTAAGTTCTTAAATTTATTGAGACTCTTTTGTGCCCCAACATGTGTTCTATCCTGGGGGATGTTCCATGTGCACTCAAAAAGAATTTGTATTCTACAGTTTTTTCTTGGGGGCCGTGGGGGTGGGATGGAATGTAATCTCTGTATATTTTAAGTCCATCTATCTGGATGATCTGTGAATGTAAGTGGCTGTTTAAGTCTCCTACTATTGTATTACTGTCACTTTCTCCCTTTTATGTCTGTTAATATTTGCTTTATGTATTTAAGTGTTCCTATGTTAAATGCCTAGATATTTACAGTTGTTTACAGCCTCTTGTTGGTTTAATCACTTTTTACTATGTAGTGTCTTTCTTTGTCTCTTGGTATAGTCTGTTTTAAAGTCTATTTTGGCCTGATACAGGTATTGTTGCCCTGGCTTTATTTATTTATTTATTTTAATTTCCATTTGTATAGAATATCTTTGTCCAGCCCATGACTTTCAGTCTGATGTCTTTAGGTCCAAAGTTGGTCTCTTACAGGCAGCATGTAGATGGGTCATAGTTTCTATCCATTTTTCACCCTGTCTTTTTGATTGGAACATTTACTTCATTTACATTTAAAGAAATTATATTGATAGGTACATACTTATTGCCATTTTGTTGTTTTCTGATTGTTTTTGTAGTTCTATGTTCCTTTCCTTTTCTCTCGCTCTCTTCTTTCTCTTGCTCTCTTGCTCTCTTGTGTTTTGATGACTTTCTTTAGTGTTGATGCTTGGATTTCTTTCTCTGTGTTTCTATTGTAGGCTTTTGGTTTGTGGTTATCAGGTTCATACATAGTGTTCTATGTATATAACAGTCTATATTAAGTTGATGGTTGCTTAAGTTTCGTTGTAGTAGCACTACATTTTTACTGCCCATTTCATATTTTCTGTATGTGAGGTAGTGTTTTACATCTTTTTATTTTGTGTGTCCCCTAAGTATTGTAGATACAATTGATGCTTCTACTTCTATCCTTTAATCTTCATACTAGCTTTATAAATGATTGCTCTACTACCTTTACAATGTATTTGCTTTTACATTGGAATCTTTTCCTTTTATAGTTTTCTCACTTCTAGTTATGGCCTTTTCTTTTTCACTTAAGTCCTTTTAACATTACTTGTAAGGCTGGTTTCATGATGATGATTTAATTGTTGACATTTTAATTATGTGTCTCGGTGTGTGACTCCTTGGTTTAATGTTATTAGATGCTCTCTTGTGCTTCCTGGACCTATAAGTCTGTTTACTTCCCCCGGTTAGGAAAGTTTTCAGCCACTGTTTCTTCAAATACGTTTTCTGCCCCTTTATTTTCCTCTGGGATCCCTATAATGTGAATGCTATTACACTTGCTAGTGTCTCAGGTCCCTTAACTTACTCTCATTTTCTAATTTATTATTTTTTAAATTTTTGCTGTTTAGCTTGGGTGCTTCCCTGTTTTGCAGCTTACTGATTGATTCTTCTGCATCCTTTAACTTACTGTTGATTCCCTCTAGTGTATTTTTCATTTCAGTTACTGTATTTTTCAGCTCTGATTTTTTTTTTTTTTTTAATTTTTTCTCTCTTTGTTTAAGTTCTCACTGATCTCATCCAGTCTTAAACCTGGGGAGCATCTTTCTCACCATTACTTTTAACTCTTTACCAGGTATATTGCCTATCTCCATTTTGTTTAGTTCTTTTTCTGCGGTTTTGCTTTGTTCTTTCATTTGGAACATATTCCTCTATCTCCTCGTTTTGTCTGACTTTCTGTGTTTGTTTCTGGGAATTAGGTGGAACAGCTCCCTCTCCTGGTCTTGAGGGACTGGTCTTAGGTAGGAATGTCCCCAGTGTAGACTGAGTATGGCTGGTAGCTTTGGCTAGCAAGTGGAGCTCCTACAGTCATGGGACGGGGCCAGGTGTGCTGCGCTGTGGGACCACCCTGATGGGACAACTAGAGTGGGCTTGGGATGGACCAGGGATCTCATGTGCTCTCAGCTAGGACCATACTAGCAAGATGACTAAACTGGAGCAGGCTGGGTTTCCTGGGGTGCTCCGTGTTGCGGCTGCCCTGGCAGACCTGCCTCAACTTTTCGGTGTATTCATGTATTACAGTAATACTGCTGGATGCATTTCCGAGTAAGAATCACTGTCTTCATGTGGTGTTTAAAATGGAACTGTTCTCTTCCAGTCCTTAACTATCTGGGTAAATAAAACAACCTTCTGAGCCAAAAATTGATTGTTTTAAGCATTTTGGACAGATTCATTGGGGTGAATTCAGATTTCCCATTTTATTATGATTCATCATACCTCTAAGACATGTGTAGTTGAATGTTATGTAATCACTTGTATTTCATGCACAAATAGTAAAAATTCTTTAATGACTTTCAGAAAGACGAAGTAGAACTTTAACACCATTCCCTGACCATGTTTTGTTTATTGTGAGTCATGGTTGGAAAAGACTAGATTGTGGTCCCAGAGATAGTTGCACAAAATAAGCAACCTAGTTCCAAAGAAGGCAGGTCTTTGACATCAAACAATTAGTGAGGAAAATAAGTATCTTTAAGAAATATGTTCTTGCGGGGCGCCTGGGTGGCTCAGTGGGTTAAGCCGCTGCCTTCAGCTCAGGTCATGATCCCAGGTCCTGGGTTCGAGCCCCGCATCGGGCTTTCTGCTCAGCGGGGAGCCTGCTTCCTCATCTCTCTCTGCCTGCCTCTCTGCCTACTTGTGATTTCTCTCTGTCAAATAAATAAATAAATAATCTAAAAAAAAAAAAAAAAAGAAATATGTTCTTGCTCCTTGGGTTTACTCTGTGTTTTTAGTAATAGCCTTAGATTGTGACAGCTGGTTTTTATAGTGTTACTTATGCCACCATTAACTTTGTGCTTCAGTGAGTGGAGGGAGTAGTGAGTACCTATCAATATAATTTCTTTAAATGTAAGTGAACTAAATGTTCCAATCAAAAAGGGTGAAAAAATGGATAGAAACTATGATCCATCTACAAACAGTTTCAATGAAGAAACTGCTTCAGTGCAGTTTCTCAAACTTCAGTTATTTGAATACCTTCGTGATTTTGCCCTGACTAGAGAACCACCGATATTACTTTTATGTTAGGCATTTTAATCTTGTTTAACATGACATTTTAAGTAATACATATTTTTAGGAACCTGATTTGAATGCTCTGGCACGGCGGGCAGCAGAAAGAAGAAGGAAAGCAGAAATGAGGCATAAAGAAGCTCTGAAATTACAAAAGAATAAAAAAGAAGAACTAGCGAAACAAAAAACCTGGTAAAGTAATAATGAAATTTATCCCATTTTCCACTGAAACATGATATGACTAGAGGTAGAGAGCATACTGGGTACTGTTAAACATAATTATTAAATACAAGTCATATGGTATATCCATTGGTTTGTTAAACTTGGTTTAAAAAGTAACAGTGGAGGTGTGGTTTACCTCGGTGCACAAAGTAACACGGGAGCTTTCTCTTCTCCAGTGACTTTAGCAATTACTTAGTTTCTGGAGAAATGTAGCTAAGCTCAAAATGCATGTTCTCCAACTGTCTGCCTCTGATGTAAAAGAAAAGAAAGAAAGAAAGATAGATCAGTGCAATTAAGAATATGAAAAGAGGTTTAGACTCTTGGCAAATCATTTTTGCATGTTGTAAAGTTGGTGGAGCCTATTACCAGTCCATGATGCTCATTTTGTACGGTGACCCATCTTTATCAACATTTCTCGTTTTTATACTGCACTATTTTAAATGAAGAAACATTAGATGTTTATTGGGTCAGTTTCACCGTAGGTCTTTATGTCTTTTTAAAGATAAACCTCTTTTACTTGGTACACATTTTCTTAAATGTCCAGTGTGTATAGATTGTTTATTAAAGAGCATATTGAGCCTATGGGATCAGGCTGGAAGATTTTTGATATCCTGTGGCTTTTATATTTGATCCCTGAAAGTTGTGATCTAATATTACCTGAGACATTAACTTAGGGCATCTCTTGTCTTTCAAGGCATATAACAGCTCGAAAGGAAGCACTGCTTGTGGAAAAAGAGAGATCGGCCAAAATTACAAGTCTGCCACCACCACCCCCAGCTCTTTTTGAGGTGAGTTACTTTGAATGTTGAGAAGAACTAGGTTGTAATACTTCTTCTTTACTATTAGAATTCAGTGCAGCTCAAAATTTCATTTGTTTAAACTTAATTTTTAAGCTTATAGGTAACACATGAATATGTCTGGAGTATTTAAAAATATTCCTAGATATCATTTTGCCCTTTCTTTAGTGTATATCTCTGATGTGTAAGTACTTTTTATAAAAGCACAGTACTAATATTCCTGTTACCTAATATTCAGTCTTTATTTAGCTTTCACCAATTGTCTTAATTTATTTTAGTTGTTTCAAAAACCATGTTTGACTTTTTAAAAACTATAACTGGCTTGGTCTTTTTTTTTAATGCCCTTTATCTACAGAGGAAAAAACTAGATTATTTGCACTATTGACTTTATCACCTTCAAGACTTGGATTTTGTAAATAGTCATTACTTCATAGGTAAAGAAGTTAGGGTCAGATAAATTTACACAAGATTACATAAAGTGGATGAGAGAAGTCTGTTTCTCTGTGGGAGTAATATGTGTGCTTTTGTGATTTTGAGCTTATTTTTAAAAAGACATTTATTGAGTAAAGTGGAAATTAATTTTAAAAGGTATTTTGTTTTATAATAGCTTGTTGTAGTTACTGAAATGGCTATCTGGATGAGTCTCACAATTACATAGTTATTTTTATCTAAAAAATGGAAGTAAAAAAACCCCATAAATATGGGGATATCTGATTTTACTGTATATATAAGTATATTTTCTGTAGGTAAGATCAACATAAGTACCAGATATTGCCTTAAGCCTTTCATTTTGTCAGCCTTCCTGCTTTTATGTGGAGCCATCTGCCATGCCGACATTTGATGCAAGATTCAAATGGGAGAGTCAGATTTCAGTCACTCCCTCGGTATGGTGTTAAAAGGCAAGCAGTACTTTATCCATGATGCCTTTTGATTTCCTTTGCTGTAATTCCTAATGTGCCTATCAAGCCAGGGTCACATTTTTCCACAAAGCAAATAAGACATCTGCATAAGTGCAAGTATGAATTATGTGCAAATGTGTAGTTGTACTTTTTTCCCCAACTTTTTATTATGAAAATTCTCAATATACAGAGAAATATACAGAGAAATTAAAAGGAAAACACAGTGAATAGTTGTTTACATCTATACCTGTGTATAGATTTCAAATAGTATAAACGTATACATTTGAATGTAAATTGTAGAGATGACATTTCACCCTGAATACTTCATTATACTCCTTATTATAAGAATAAGGACATTTTCTTATGCAACCAGAGTATTACACTAAGGAAATTAACATTGATTTCTTAATACCACTTAATATGCAGTCCATAATCAAGATCTCCAGTTGTCCCTAAGTTGTTTTATTTTACAGCTTCTTTCTTTTTTAAACCAGAATCCAGCTGGGCTTCACCCATTGCTTCTGCTTGTCCTGTCTTACTCTCTCTCAGTATAGAACATTATCTCACGCAACCATAGTCAGCTTTTTTTATTTCAGGCTCTTTGAAGAGACTAGTCTCTCATATTCTGTATTTTTCTTATTTGGCTCTGGTGGTGACTACAAGAGATCTCTATCATAAAGGTATATTTTTCTCTTTTCAATGACCGATTAATCTGGGAGTTGATACTTCGGCACCAGGCAGGAATCTACCATCCTTCTACATTTATCCATTGTCCTACTTCCGTTTGGAAAAAGAAAAGACAACTTTCTCATCACTGGGCATGCAGCACCATAACCAAGTGATCAAACTTAGAATCCGTAATAGGGGAGCAATTCGCCGCTGTGCCTCCTGCTGTGGTGCGGTGTACAGCATCCCTGAGTTCCTGGTCTTGCCTTAATATGATCTAGCTTTTTTTTTTTTTTTAATTTTATTTATTTATTTGACACAGAGAGAGATCACAAGTAGGCAGAGAGGCAGGCAGAGAGAGAGGAGGAAGCAGGCTCCCTGCTGAGCAGAGAGCCCGATGCGGGCCTCGATCCCAGGACCCTGGGACCATGACCTGAGCCGAAGGCAGAGGCTTTAACCCACTGAGCCACCCAGGCGCCCTATGATCTAGCTTTTAAACCTAGATTCCAGGTAATGAAAAGAGAGCCCATGTAGAGAAAAATGAATAAGGATAACCGATTAAATACAAAATTATTTTTATTGGGTCCAGCTTTAATTGAAAATACTGTTAACCTAATAATCCATTGTCTGTGGTCCTTTTTCAGAACATTGAACTAAAGAGAACTTCTAATGTGAAAACTGGTAGATCCACCTATCATCATCTTTGCACTTTTGTGAGCAGAGAGACAGACACAGAGCAGGTGATTGACTTATAGTTGTTTACAGTCCTTACTTTGTTTCTCTGTTCATTGAAGTGAGTTGTATCTATACATGTTCTCTGTGAAGAATTTGGAACTATACATATAAGCATAAACCATAGGAAAAACGACTGCAGTTCCATCACCTAAAAGTAATGTGATTAATACATTAATGAATTCATTATGGCCTTTATGTATAAACATACACTTTTCAAAACATAATTTTTATAGGCACTTAATATCTCATCATAGATTTAACCATTGTTCTTTTGTTCATTTCTTTTTGTTTCTGTAAATAATGCAAACATAATCTTGTACATTTTTTTATACAGCTCTGAGGTATGTTTAGAGTAGACTCCTAGAAGAGAAATTACTGGTTTCAAACTATATAACGTTTGATACAGATACTTGATATGGGTCATTAAATTGCCTTGTGAAAAGTATTGGTAACTTAGGGGACTAGTCATCATACCCTTCACCATTCCCTTGTGTGGGTGATTATGGTTCAGAAAGTGTTGCCAGTCTCGCGAGTGAGAAATAATAATCATTGTTATTGAAATTGCTATTTCTTTGTAACTGGATTTTAATTTCTTTTCATATTGGATGTATTTGGCTCCTGGGAAAACAGACTCTCAGTAGAGCTGTCCTGTGGAGTTTAGATTGCAACAAATGCACATTTTGGTTAACTGCTTAATGGCAGTTGTTAAAATCACTATTAATCAAGACCTAAGATGAGTATTCTCATTGTAGAATTAACTTCTAAGAAATAAGAATAAATCTTGATTTGTTTAAAATCGTAAATTATTATTACAACCTCAGTCTTACTATCACATAGAAATAATAACTTCAGTCTGTGGCTAACTTGCTTTTGTGGTTACTACCCTACATTTTGCAGTTCTCTCAAGTAATGCTTCTTGGGAGCACTTCCGGGGTCACTAGTGGTAGTTTGTAGGGGTCCATGATGTTATTTGAAGTTGATGGTATTGCACTCATACAAACACCATGGAAAGTACACAGGAACCACGAGACATCACTTTTTACCACCATACGCAATTTACTGGAAAGGCAAATTGCTCATGCAGAAATGATTAGTGTCACACAGTGTTTTCGTTCTCACTGCGATAGCAACAGGATGTGGCCTAAAATTAACTGTAATGCATTCTCTTAGGACTTAAATACTGAATCGTTATGTTTGTTTACATTTCTCCCGACTGTGAATGCTTTCCACGTTTGGTGTGTAAGTGCTTGTGTGTGTAAGTTTTGATAAATTTTAACTTTTTATAAGACATTTTTATGTATTTATGGCAATAAATGATTAAACTAGACTAGTACCTTACCTATATTTTATGCATTCATGACATACCTAACTTTTCTTAATTTTTCAGTATTTCCAGGCTCCATGATTCATCTGCAAGTTTTTTCAGATTCTTGCAAATCTCCAAAATATTTTCCCATGTATTTATTGGAAAAAACCCTTGTATAAGTGGACTTGCACAGTTTAAACCCGTGTTAAGGGTCAACTGTGATAGCCTTCATAATCATCATCATTTCACCTAAGAATTTTGACATGTAAAATAAGAAGATGTTTACTTAAGTTACATTTGGAATGCTTACCTGTATTTGAAAGTGAACATTCGCGGAATAATAGTTAATCCAGGTTATGTGCCCTTGCCCCGCTGACTTGCTCTTGTTAGCTTGGTGAGATGATAGCTGACTGTACAGTCATGTAATCATTGATGATGCACAAGTTTTGGGAAGTTAGAAATTATATTCAAGTAGTTGTTTGGTGATTTGGCCTTCCTGAGATTGAAATCAAGCAGCAGATGTTGACTGGAAGGCAAAAGACCAATCCCAGTGCTTCCCTAAATGACCTTTGCTGTCTATGGCTTCTTAACTGCTGGCTTTGTGAGAGCTTACAGCACTGTTGTTACTGGAATCTCTTAACAAAACAGCGATGGAGAAATGTGTGGGTGAGAATGTGTGATCCGGTTTAAAATGAACCAACTTGCCAAACTTTCACTAACAATTTGATATTTTTCATATATACATGTGCTTGGTAATTGTGGGCCTTTAAAAATACACTAAGTAGGAAAGCATGACTTTAAGGTCATTTTTTAGTTATCACCTTATTTCACAATTTTTAAAATTGTCTAAAATGTTATTAATTGACTGCTAGCCAGATCCTCATTTGGCTGCTGAAGAAGAAGCTAAAAAACTGGAAGAACGACAAAAACAGGCAGCACAGGAGAGAATGGAACAGTATCAAAAGGCTCATGTGCGGGGATTTCAAGCAATGAAAAAGACCCATTTGGCTCAAGTAAGAATTCTGGCTGGGACCACTGCTGGTAGACAGACGGCCTGACAGACTATATAGCACTAACTGATTAGTGTAAATGGTTTCAAAGTACAGAGGTATGAAGAATGTGAAAGTAACAGTCTTTGACTCCCAACTTTTACCTCCTGTTTCAAATTCAGGTTGGGTGAAGCAATTGTCATAGTATATTGCTGTTCTAAAAGTTTTTGTCATGATGAATTTATTAAAAGTTTAATATTTTCATCAGACAGAAATGGCCTGAAAAGAAATTAATCGCTTTTCCCATTTAATGAGTTGCATTTGTGCCCTGCAAATTTTAGGATTCTGTTTATTAACTCTTTACTGCGCAGAGCACTTGTTGGCTTTGCAGAGTATTGATTCAAAGGTAGAGTCATGATCCTGGTTTTCCAGGAGCCTTGAGAAAGTGTCATGGAGCATACAATATGTATAATGAAGACTGGCTTATAATTTTAGCTTCACTTCTGTCCTGCTTATTCAGTGAGTGTGTATCCTGAAACAAAGCATAAAAATGATTCATTTTCAAAGTCAGACCATTTCTTCTGTATTTGATTAATTAATGCACTTGGATGTTTCAAACATTTGTAAAGAGTGAGTTTTTAAGTATTTCTGTGGGAATTACAGGCCTTAAAGTTCATTGGTGTAATTTTAACTGATTTATACATGACCTCCCTTAAATTTTTTAGATTTTATAAACTGGGAGTAAATTCTGACTAAAATAACTGATTGTCTGAATTATTACCAGTAATTCTCATCTAAGATTCAAACCAATAGGAAAAAATGTGAAAAGCAATCATAAACTGAACGCATTCTTCCATAAATCAGACTGTTTAGTGGTTAAGAAGATAGACTCCACAGTCTGCCTGGAATTTTCTCCCTTCTTCACTGCTTAGCTGGTAGCTGGTTGACCTCAAGCAAGTTACCTAACATCTCTGAATTCTGTTTTTTTTTGTCTGTTTTGTGAGGATGAAATGAGTTTAGTAAAGCCCTTCAAATTGTGCCTGGAATTTCATAGGCTCACAGCAAATGTCAGTGGTAATGGTGGTAGTTGTTATAAAATAATTCAAATAGAATAATATGCCATACTTTCAATGACCCAGAAGTAGTATATTTCTTCAGATAACTTAGAAGTTAATTTACTGAAATCATTTGAATCTCAATATAAAAGAAATGAATTTGTAAAACTTTACGTAAGAATAAGTAGTGTTTATATTATCCCTTGGCAAACACTATTACATAGGCTCTCTGGCTTTTGACTTTCTGTCTCTTACATGAGAATGGTCATCAAAACCTGCAATCTCACCATTGGTAGAGGATTTCCTTTTCCCTGTGGGAGCCTTTTTGAGCCTTTTTGCTGTAGACCCCATTGTGCGATGAGATCTTGTTTCCTGCTAGTGTCTGTTGTAACTAGTATTTGGCCTCTGCCTACTTCTCCAATACGGTCTTTTCCCCTTGACCATACACTTCCTACCCACGCCCTGGAGCAGTGTATTCTCCCTGAATGCCCTATGCCTTTGTCTCCATACCTTTGTGCTCCAGTTATTATTTCTTATTTGTACTCCTCCTTCACCCACTTCTGTCTGTTAGGTTCCCCAATAATGGGTCCGTGATTAAAGGAGCGAGACTGATACAAAGCAGAGGTCAAGCAAAGCTTTATTTCGCTCCAAGCATCAAGAATCAAACCGAACGTTCGGGGCTGCACCTCTTACAGGGAGGGCGACCTCTCTCTGTTTCACAGACTAGCTTTTAAGGGCAAAGGCCATGTGGTTGGGCCTGGCCACGCACAGGTGGCCAATGAAATTGTAACACACACAGAAAGCTTCACAGTCATGCTAGGTCACACATAAGTGACCAATTGAATTACAATTTACCCTATAGTAGACATTTGAACCAGCCTATCACCTTGGTCAGAATTGGCGCCCAAAAGGTGCCCAAAGAGCGGGGCCCATACTTCTTCGTAACTAGGGAGACAGTATGCATCCCCCCATTGATCAGATGTCTCCACCTGGCCTGACCCACCCTTGTATTTGGGCTTTGTTACCTGGGGCTGGTTTCCTGGACTTGTTTTTGAGTAAGTCCCTTGGGGGCAGGGGGGCAGGGACAGCTTAAGGGTTAAACAGCAAGGTTATTGTTTAACCTGGATGGAAGCCTCTGGCTAAATAGGTCCTTACATATCTGGCTAAATCCTCAAGTCAGGGGTGAGAGGTCTTCCCTTATCCTCCCTCACTTGTCCTTCACCACCAAAATATAGTTCAATAACCTCAATAAAACACTGTACTTAAACTTTCATATTAGCCAGCTCTTTTGAGGTTAAAGATACCCCTTTCATCATGGGGATTTGTAAAAGTGTGAAGTGACAAGAAATACTTGGTAGGCCAGCTGCTGTGGATCTTGGTGCTTGCCTGGGCCTGTTATATACATGCTGCTGGCTACAGGGAGAACTGGAACAAAGTGCATTGCAGGAGCCACGGCAGCTCATAGAGACTGTCCCTTCCCAGCCATCCTGAGAAAGGAGACCTGTACGCAGCAGACAATTTGGAAGATTTGTGGCCTAACTGATACTATCCTTCCATAATACTAACATAGTACTAATTACCTGTGTCTTGATCTCTAGGCTGAGAGTAAGATTGTGTTTCTAGCATCTCACGTGGTATCTGGGTTTCAGTATGAAACATTCAGACATTAACTATTCAGAATGAATAGTTAATGTCTTTTTGTGGCAGAACACAGGAGGGACAGGGAGAGAAGTCCAGTCCCTGTTAGTCATGATTTCTCCACTTTTCCCTTCCCGTTAATGTTATTGTCTAAAGTCTGTGACCGAACTGTTGTTGATTAAGTCCCTCTGTTCTCGAAGACTCAGGAGAAACTAATGAAAGAACTCAAACAACTCCAACAAGAGGACCTGGCACGTAGGAGACAGACTGTGGCACAGATGCCACCACAACTCATTGAGCTTCCATACAAACGCAGTGAAATGAAAGAAGACTGGCAGAGAGAGCTGGAATTTGCCTTTGAAGACATGTACAATGCAGACAGGAGTAAGACTCTTCCACATTCCATACGGTTTCAGCAGTGCTTCTAAGTATTTTGGTGGGGGAATACATTTGTATTTGAACAAAGTAGTTTTTATGTTGGGATAAGTTCTCAGTTTAAAAGACGGCCTCATATTTTAAACTTAGAATGATAATGGCCTTTAACGGGACATCTGGGTGGCTCAGTTGGTTAAGCATCTGCCTTTGGCTCAGGTCCTAATCCCAGGGTCCTGGGATCGAGTTCCCACATTGGGCTCCCTGATCAGCAGGGAGCCTGCTTCTCCCTCTGCCTGCCATCCCCCTACTTGTACTCGCTGTCTCTCTCTCTTTCTCTCTCCCCCACCCCCAAATAAATGAATAAAATCTTTTTTTTTTTTTTTTTTAAAAAGGGAAGAAAGAAGTGGCCTTTAAAATTTTATGCTCAAGTTCTTTTTAGTCATTTCAGAATGGAAACCTCTCTCTCTCTTTCTTTACTGAGAAGTGAAAGGAAACCTGATTTTGCACCTCGAACCGGAACCTTTGCCCACTGTGACTGATCAGGTCCAAGATGAAGAACTGGACCTTTCAATGGAACAAGAAAGTTTAGGAGAAACTGAAAATAGTCCAGTTACAGAAGCCGAAACAATATGTTCCAGTGAAGCAGAAGGTAAAACTCCTTTTAAGCTGAACATTACCATATTTCCTAGAAAAAAAATGCTAGTAATTTGCCAACAGGAAATTCTGGTCTAATTTTAGTGCAAACAAATGACTAATACTAATGGGAGTGATGGAAGAAGGAAGCCATGTTTTTAGATTTCCTTCATTAAAGATCTTTTCTGTATACATAGGAGGAAAGTCATTTTGTTCAAATATACATATAGTCTGAAGATTTTTATGTTAAGTTAGGTGCCCAATTCTGAATTCCTTTGAAGGCTCAGCATTGTCTTTAGACTTTTGATCAAATCACCAAAGATCCTACTGTATTAATTAGTGCTAAATACTTCATGTACAATGATGAGTAGCACAAACTTCAGTCTGTCTTCTAAACTTCACCTCTGTCCAACAATTTTAACTCTTTCACTTGGCTGTCCAATAGCTACTTAAAACTCCTGTCTGACGATACATTTAAACCTCTCTTGCTTACTGAAATCTTGTCTTCCTCATGTTAGTGAATGATAATATTTAAGCCAGACCAGGGAACATTACCTATAACAACTCCCCCTTTACTTCACGTCTCCTTAGAGACCAAGTTCTCTTTATTTTTATCTCTTTTCTCCCCCCATACCTACAAACACTGCCTTTGTTCAAAACCACTCAAGCTTTCTTAATAAATCTTTATCCAACACTGTGGATAAAGCCCTTGGAGGTTCCAGCTTTATGTGGGTCTCCTGTTCGACTCTTCAAATGAAACTCCTAGTAGACTGTAGGTTCTATCCCTGTCTCCTGTGTCTAGACTGCTGTCTAAACAGTGTAAGGTTACTGTGGTTTGTCAGAAACATCAGAAAATGGGTTCAGGGTTCACATCCTCCAGAATTCCCAGTTACACTTTCTTTCTGGCCTCTGAAGAATCATTGATTTCCTCACCAGATCAGCAGTGCCTTTAAGGAAGATACTTTTACTATTTCATCCAGCTTTTTTCAGTTTTTAAGTTGGGACTAATACTCAGATCTCTAGTTTGTTAGAATTACAATTCTTGCTTTATCTAAAGGGACAGTTACTTTTCAGTTCCTGCTGATCCCATTTGGAATTGCTCATTTGATGTTGTCAGCTCTCTTGACATTTCAGAAGAATCTAGGAATCCCATTGATTTAATAAAAAGATCCTTATTTTTAAATATAGGTAACAAATTTAATTTCTTAAGTATGAGTGAGTCACAGACTAATGATGATTGAAAGAAGCCAGGCAAAAATGAATACCTGAGTATAATACCATATTTTTATGAAGTTTAAAAAAAGGTAAACAGACAAAACTAATCTGTTCTTGAGATTAGAACAGTGGTTTAGGGGTGTACTGAGCGGGAAGGGGCAGGAGGGAGCCTTCGAGGTGCTGGCAGTGTTCTACATAATGGTCTACATAATGATCTGGATGGTGTCACATAGGTATGTGGAAAATTCCTCAAGCTGTACTCTCAGATTTTGTGTACTTTATTGTTTGTAAGTTAAAATTAAGTGTTTTTTAAAAAAGTTTGTCAGACCAAACTATAGTTTGCCAGTTTTCAACTTTAGGGGACTTCTTAGATTTTATTCCTTGATTAAGCCAGAGAAGTATGTATTTGCAACACAGTTTTGTCCCCTTAGAGAGCTGTTTGTACTATGCTGAGTTTTGGTATTGTACCATCAACCCACAGGGAAAGATGTTTGGGGAAATAACTGAAAAATTTTGTTTTTAACTGAAAGGGTTCTCTTTATGAAGATAGGTGGGAAAAAAGTTCTCTGGATAGTACGAGGAATAATTTGGGAGCACCTGATAGGCTTTTAAGGTTATAACTAGTAATGTTTTCCTCTGTAGCTTACTCAGAAGTACAGAACCATATTTGGGACCCTTCTCTAGGATAGAGTATAAAACCTTACAGAACATATTTTGAATGCTAATTTCACACAAGTTAATTAGGTGATAAGCATTCTGTCATTTAGCAAGCAGAATAAACCTCTCTGTGATAAATTTTTAAGCTTGAAATCGGTATTGCATGCATATTGTTGGAAGATGGTTGAATTTTGATGCCTTTATTTAAATATAAATTGAAATTTATTCCTGTTATAAAATTTCCATTGGGGTTAAATATAATTGTATATGTTGTTAAATTATAAATGAAAAATATAAAGAAATACAAAGTTGTGCTTTTATCTTAACTAGGGTTTGTGGCGGTTGCTAAGTATAATAGAATAATTTGCTTGGTATATAATAGGTCCTGAATAAGTTTGTTTTTTTTTTTTTCTTTTCTTTTAGTTCCCTTGGCAATAAAGACCCACCAGGTCCCTTCAAAAATTCTTTTTAAGAAATTATTAAATAAGATCCGAAGCCAAAAATCTCTCTGGACGATTAAATCCATGTCTGAGGATGAAAGTGAAGTGATTACAGCTCTTAGTGAAACTGAGAGTAAAGTACCAACAGTCGAATCAGGAGGAACTGTTGGCGAAGAGAGGACGTCATCCTCTGGGCAGGAACAAGGTGCTGCTCTCCAAGTGTCTCATTTTGTAGCACACAAACCCTTTCTCAGTTGTTTGAAAAGATGCTCATTCCTGAAACATCAAAGAATAGTGGTCTAAAGGAGGAAAATGCTTAAAGCCCATAGTACTGCTACTTCAAGGCAGTAAATGTTAAAAAAACCTTCATAAACCTTCTTCTAGGCACACTTTACTGTAGTTGTAGTATTTATACATGGTTGACCCTTGAAGAAGATGGGTTTGAACTCACGGATCCAGTTACGTGCAGGGTTTTTTTGCATAAATATAGTAGATTTTTAGAGGTTGTGACAGTTTAAAAAAACAGAACCTGCAGAGCCAAAAATCACAGAAAAAATTAAAAAGTTAGGTATTTTAAGAATATAACATGTGATACACATAAGATACAAAATATGTGTTAATCAACTGACTTTGTTATTGGTAAGGCTCCCAGCCAACCATAGGCTGTTAGTAAAGTTTTTGGAGAGTCAGAATTTGAAGTGGTATGTTTGGCTTCTAACTCTGGCATTGTTCAAGGGACACTGTATATATTAATAATAGTCCAGTATAACTGATGAATCAGAATTAACGAATTTGTTATTGTTAAAACATTTAGCCAGTTTCTAATTTTACTTGTTATGTTTTGTGCTATAGTGAACATCCTTTTAGCAGTCTGCCTATATCTTTATTTCCTTAGGAACAGCTCTTAAAAGAATTCCTGAATCAAGGGATTCTTGAACATGTTAACAGCTTTTGAATATAGTGTATTGTGTGTTTATTTCACATTGCCACCAGAAATTGGGTTTCTTTGTCACTCGTAAAGGTTTTTTTGGTAGACAAAAAGGCTGTTAAGTAAATATCCAGAAGTTACAAAGGTCAAGCAAGAACATTATCTGGGGGGCACCTGGGTGGCTCAGTGGGTTAAAGCCTCTGCCTTCGGCTCAGGTCATGATCCCAGGGTCCTGGAATCGAGCCCCGAGTCGGGCTCTCTGCTCAGCAGGGAGCCTCCTTCCCCCTCTCTCTCTGCCTGCCTCTCTGCCTACTTGTGACCTCTCTCTCTCTCTGTGTCAAATAAATTAAAAAATCTTTAAAAAATTAAAAAAAAAATAACATTATCTGGAGTTACTGACTAACAAATGCGTCGTGGTAACATAATTCTCTTCGTTTGTTTGTTTGTTTTCTTTCCAAGAGTTTTGTCTTTTGTATTTTTTTTTTTTAATGCGATTGGATTTGTATGGAAGTATTTTGCTACCAGGCTTCTGAAAGAAGTGACTTACAGTCTGTCTAGATTTTGGACTTTATCCTAAGTATAACAGGAAACCTGGAACTAATTTCTTCACTTGACCTCTTGACACCATCCTCTCAGTTTTCCTACCTTACTAGCTCCTCCTTTGTGATTTCTTTTGCTGCCTTTCTCACCTCTACAACCACTAGTCATTGCTCCCAGAACTTGTTTCTTAGGTCCTTTCACACTCACTAGTTGAATGCTAATGCCATGACTTTACATTATCATCTTTATTCTCATGACATCTGAGTGTCTCTCTAGCCTGACCTCTCCTTTGAACCCCACTCATTTATTTAAATGTCTTTTTGACATCTTACCTTGTAATCACATCTTACACTTTTCTAAAAGTGAGCTCTTAATATCCCTTCTTTTCCTCCCCTTGCTTTTCCTACATACTTCCTTATTGTTCAGTAAGTGGCAGTAAAATTCTCTTACTCAAGTCAAAAAGCTTGGCATTCTGGTTCCCCTTTTTTATATCCTACATCCAAATCATTGTACATCATGTTGATCTCACCTTCAAAACCTATCTGCAGTCCAACCAGTTCTCACCACCTACCATCCTAGTTTAAGCTATGTTTCTTGTCCAATATAGATTCTTGGCAGTGGCCTCCTAACTGGTCTGTCTGCAGATTTTGCACCTCCCTGCTACAATCTAGCCCCAGAGTCATCCTGTTAAAACACAAACCACAAGTCACTCCACAGGGGGAAGTCCTCCAACCACTACCCAGTTCATTCAGTTAAAACCAGAGTGCTTACAGTGGCATCAAAGCCTTGTATGATCTGCCTGCATATAAACCCCTCTCCCCCCATTGCTTTCACCCTCACTTTCTCTAACTTCATTTTCTACAACACCTCCCTTCCAGACTACTCACCATAGGCACTGGCTTCCTGGCTATTTCTCAGGCACACCAAACATGACTAACGTAGTCTTTGCAGATTGCTGCTAGTCTTTTTGGATGGATTGCTTTTGTTTATTTCGGTGCCTCACTGTCACTTCCTTCAGCTACTTGGTGAGACATGGCTTTCTCAGCAAGGCCTTCTCTGTTCACTCTGTATAAAATGGCAAGTTTCTACACTCCTTCTCCCATACCCTTCACTTCCTATCACCTTTACCCTGCTTTTTCTCCATAGCTCTTACCTTCACTCCTTCCATAGCTCTTACCAGCATCTTCAGGACCATAAATTTACTTTCTTGGCTTATTTGCTTCTTGACCCTTTCTTCACCCAATACGTCCTCCAGTTCCATTGAAGGTAGGAACTAGGTTTTCTTCATTGCTGTATTCCCAGGGCAAGACCAGTGCCTTGTACATAGAAGATGCTTAATAGTATTTGCTGTATTGAGTAGCTTAAAAGAAGAGTGGTTTGGAAGTCAGGTATAGATACGATATTTAAAGCCACAGGCATAGGGGAATGCTTTTAGGAGAAAGAATTTGGTGAGAAGAGGGCTTCTGAGACCATATGAGGGACTCCAGCATTTAGAAGATGACTAAAGAAGGAGCAGACAGCAAAGGTGGTAAAAAAGAGTGGCCAACAAAGTAGGAGAGAGTATGGTTTCAGAATTCAGTAAAAGGAGGCTCTTTGATTTTCATTCCATAACTAGGTTATTTTTTTTTTTTAAGGCCCTGTACGAGTTGGCTTTCTCCAGCATCATTTTGCTTCATTCATTCTCTCCCCTTGTCTAACTACATCTCATATTCATTCCCATACCTCCCACCTTCTTTACCTGGCTGATTGCTCCTTCCTTACCTTTCAGATGTCTGCTTTAATGTCATTTCCTAAGACAAATCTCACCTGAGTCCCTAGCCTACTTCACATTGTCCTGTAATACTCTACTACATAATCCTTTCTTTCTCTGATAACAGCACTTATCAGTTACTAGTTTTGTAATTTTTTCTTAGAATGATTATTTAATGTTTCTGTTTCCCTACTTGCCCTGTCAAACCTCCTTTAGGCCTTTTTAAAATTTACCACTGTACCCCTGCCTGCAGCACATAAGTAGGAGCTGCAGGAGTAAGTGAGTGCTCAGTGCAGAGTTCCGGACAACCCTGGTACGGTCCAAGAAACTGCTTTAACTTTCCTTCTCTGTTCTGATTTCAGCAACAGTAAAAATCCTATCTAAAAATGGCAGGGATACATTGACATTCCTTAAGCTTCTCTTTTTAAACTTAGGTGCCTTGCTTATTCTATTCTTTGCTTTTCCCTGGAGTTTGAAACTGTCAGTAAGGCTTTATAATCAATTCTTCCTTTTTTCATTTCCTTTTTCATTTTCATTTCATTTCATTCAATTTTAGTCTCCCACCTGTCTTCTTACATTAGGCTCAAGTTTAATGGATAAAATGTGCAGTCATCTGGAACATGACTGGATCTTAACTGAATATGACAGTTGGACCAAAATCGAATTTTTAATCTGAATGCAGGTTTTTGTTACTTTGTTCAGATTTAAGTTTACAGTGATAATATGTTCCTAATAATGTATCTGCTACAGTTGCTGAAAGTGATACTTTAACAATTGACTCTGGACCACTTACTAGTGAAGAGAAACCGCTTTCATTGGATACAGACTCTGAAAAGGAACAAGGTATTTTTTAAATCACATTTTCAAATTAAACTTGGTCAACTTAACATTTTTTTCCTTGTAAAATTACATATGTGATAAATGAATAAAGAGAATTATAGCAGTGTCAGACTTCTAAATTACTGAAACTAATTTTTGTTTTGGGGATTCTCTCAGAAATGAAGGAGGCTCAGCCTATCACAGCTGTAGCTCAGAGTTCAATTCTACTTCATCCTCAAGAAGAAGCATCCAGAATTAGAATGGCAGCAAGGCAGAAACAGGTAATTTGAAATTTTTATTTTTGGAGGTTTCTTTCTTCTCCTAGGTTCTATAATTTTGTGTGATCAGTGAAATTTGTCTTACTGTCTGGCTGCTTTTGATACTATTGTCTTGTTTTACTCATTCAGCTGATAGAAGATACTTCATCTCTGCTTATACTACTCATTTGGTCCTTACTGCATTCTGTTTTGTAATACTTTTGTTAAAGACAGAGACGGTCATTTTTGAAAATTCTACTTACTTTGCATCATTTCTGGTGCAGTGCTTTATACATAGTAAGTGCTCAATAAATATTTGTTGAATTCAGCTACGCTTATAACCTCAAAAGTTTTTTTGAAAAATAATATTTCAGGGCGCCTGGGTGGCTCAGTGGGTTAAGCCTCTGCCTTTGGCTCAGGTCATGATCTCAGGGTCCTGGGATTGAGTCCCACATCAGCCTCTCTGCTCGGCAGGGGGCCTGCTTCCTCCTCTCTCTGTCTCTTTGCCTACTTGTGATCTTTCTCTGTCAAATAAATAAATAAAATCTTAAAAAAAAAAAAATTTTCAGACCAAAATTGTTAATTCAACCTCCTTAACTATAATTTGGTCCCATCTGCTTTAATACAAGATTTTTTTTAAACACAGATTTCCTTGAAAGAGGCTAACTGTCACTAAGCTAGTTAGTTTATAGTGATAGTTTTTATGAAAATACAGCTGGAGAGTAAGAATTCTATAAACCAGTATTTCTTCTCAGATATCTAAGTTTTTCTAATTGGTGTTCTAAAGCACTATTGTCCAATAGAGCTTTCTCTGGTTATGTGAATGTTTGATATCTGTGTCCCATTATGGTACCTCCTAGCCACAGGGGCTGTTGATTACTTGAAATATTACTAGTACAGCTGAGTAATTGCACTTTCAGTTTTATTTAATTTTAATTCATTTAAATTTTAGGAGTCATATGTAGCTAGTGATTGTTCTATTGATGGTATAGTTCTAGAGGTACTACAGAACTGTAAATGGTCTAAGTTCAGTGGCTCTTATGAGTGAGGGAAAGTAGGGAAGAAGCAGACAAGAACTCAGCTGTAGCCACTCTTGCCTGATTAGGAACAGGCAAAATACCAGATTGAGACATTTTTTATTCTGAAAACAAGATCATTCTTCATTATTTGTAACAGAAGTGTTCCTCTTCATAAAACTTACCATACATTCCTCATTCTACTTATCCAGTAAATATTTGTGTTATGTGTATTGTGGGGACTGAAGTAGGTGCTAGATTTAGCACACAACCAGTCAGACTAGTCCCTGTCCTTATGAGGCTTGGAGTTCCTCTGACATGTTCTAATTACTTGGATGTGTGTGTGTGTGTGTGTGTGTGTGTGTGTAAAAAACACTAGAGTTTATGTGTCAGCCCTCTGCCATGTGCTTACCATCTGTTTCACACCTCACATTCTGACCCAGAATGTTGCTCAGATGTTATTTGGCCCCCAGATAACTACACCCCTTTATGGGTATGCCTAAGAAGTCAAATTAGTTGTGAGGCCTTGATATTTAATTTCCTTAGTCCTTTTTCTTACTGAGAACACTGCAGAGTTAAAGATGCGAGCACAGGGGCGCCTGGGTGGCTCAGTGGGTTAAGCCGCTGCCTTCGGCTCAGGTCATGATCTCAGAGTCCTGGGATCGAGCCCCGCATCGGGCTCTCTGCTCTCTAGGGGAGCCTGCTTCCTCCTCTCTCTCTGCCTGCCTCTCTGCCTGCTTGTGATCTCTCTGTCAAATAAATAAATAAAATCTTTAAAAAAAAAAAAAAAAAAGACGCGAGCACAGAATTTGGCTGAGCATCATTTGCTGCTTCTGTGGGGCTGGGTCCTGAGTGATGAGCTGGGATTTACTGTGCTCCCACGTGCACCCACAGGAAGTAGGAACAGTTAATGGGTTTATTTTTTCCTTCCCCTTCTGCCTCTTTTTTCCTTTCCAGTCTTTTTCTCCTTTTCCCCTTTCCAGCTTACCTTCTTCTTTCCTCTGGCAGTGGCAATAACAATAAGAGATAAAACATTACCACTTTCTTCTTGGTTAACTGGTATTCTTGGTGATGAGATCTGTTTCTTTTCATTGTAATTCATATAAACTTTTCTTTTATATGAGTTTGTTGTTAATAGATATTAGTTTTTTTGTTACTTAGATAATGGAAATAGAAGAGCAAAAGCAAAAGCAGTTGGAATTACTTGAACAAATTGAACGACAGAAGTTACGATTAGAAACTGATTGCTTCAGGGCTCAGCTGGAAGAAGAAAAGAGGAAAAGAACGCAACAGATTGGGGTAGGATGCAGGAAATCTCATCCCTACATGGATTGTTGGGGGATAAGAAAATATGAGTAGTCGTAGCATTCAGGAAAGTAGAATGCATTTCTAATTTTTATTTGGTAATTTTTTTCTTTTAACACTGTATGTATGTGCATATATAGATAGATATAGATATATGTATATTTTCATCTTTCAGTTTTTAGGAGGTACCAGTATATGTGACCTTGATTTATAAGTAATGTATATTTTGAGCTCTTGGACATGGTACTCAAGGAGAATGGTGGGTTACTTCATTTCTTAATAACGGAAATGCCAGTCTTTTTTTATGAAAAGTAAAGCTATATGAAAGTTACATTGTAGAACTTCAGTGTGTATAAAATACTTTAGTACTTGTTTCTGGATTTGCCTTTTAATTAGTAGCTTTGTCTTTTATTAGGTTGGCACTGCTCCAGCGCCATGCACTGTAACTTATGATGAAGATAATCATAGGCAGATGATTCATAACTATCAACTTCAGCTTTTACAGCAGAACAGGTATTAACTAGGGTACAATTTGTATGTGATATACTGTGTGGCTGCCTCTTCAGGATTTATTATTTGGTTTATATGAAGATCCAATCAGGATTCCCTTAGAACTCAGTATATAGGTTTCCCAAAGGTCAATTTGAATGTTACTCTGTTTTCGTCATGATAATGGCCATCCCTAAATTGCTCTTTGTTAAATTTAATGTGTAGATGAGAATACAGAGCATTTTTTTCATCAGGAAAGAATAATGTTGGGCACCTGGGTGGCTCAGTGGGTTAAGCCTCTGCCTTCGGCTCTGCTCATGATCCCAGGGTTCTGGGATCAAGTCCCACATCGGGCTTGCTGCTCAGCAGGGGGCCTGCTTCTCTCTCTGTCTCTCTCTCTCTGCCTGCCTCTCTGCCTACTTGTGATCTCTCTCTGTCAAATAATAAAATCTTAAAAAAAAAAAAAAAAGAATAATGTTTGTTTTTTTGTGTTTGTTTTAGGTTTCACAGACAGTCTGTTGAAACAGCCAGGAAACGATTACTTGAATATCAGACTATGTTAAAAGGAAAGTACTCATCTGGGTTAGCCACTTCACTGACATCTGATTCTGTTAAATCAGTACTACCACAGAATACTGAAAGACCCACTGTCATATCAGAGCATTGGGATCAAGGTCAGAGACCCAAGCTGAGTCCTGACAAATACCTGCCTGTGCCATCCATACAGAGCTCCAGATCAGAAGAAGATCCTTTTCAGATTCCAAGACAAAGTCTCTTTCCACAAAGACAGGTAGAAACAGACATGGTAATCAATTCAGATGTTTTAGCCAAGCAGTCTTTGGAATCAAAGGAACAGCCTAAGCAACTCTCACAGAGTGAAGTACAACAAAGAGGCTATAAATTGGTTCATAAAGATTCTCGTACACTTCCAAAGCCTTTGTCACATGATAGGCTGCTAGTAATACAGGATCCTAAAATAGCTGAAATATCTCGGGCAACAACTTCTCAAACTTTAGATCCCCAGCAGAGGTTCTCAGAGAACGAGGAAAGTATACCCTCCAAGCTAACTGAACGTTCTTCATTCCAACCAGCGGCAGCTGAGCATGCTTTTAGTTCTCTGCCTGCTACAGTTGAATCTCGAAAAATCCAGGAATCCTTTGTAGCCATGAACAAAAGTACAGTTTCTGTAAGCCCTTCTGTAATCAGCCACATGCAGGGTAAGTCTTTGCCAACCTCAGAAAATATCACAGCCCACCTGGGTAATTTGAAGGCTCTCCAAGAACAGTTAGACCTACAGAAGGAGGTTCTTCGGTCAAGACAGGAAGCTCAGGAACGATTGCTTTTGTACAAACAGAAAGAATTGGAAGGACAAACTGGCCTCTCTGTCTCCCTTCCATTAGTATCTCCGGATTCATTTGCTACACTGCCTTCTGCCAGAGCTGAATCGGGGAGAATCCAGGAATCTTCTCCAACCAAGGATGATACTGCAGTTCCCTTAGGCCATCTTGGGGTCCCACAACTTCCAGATAGGCTTTGGAGTTTTTCACAGCCTGTCTTATCACAGCCAGATAATTTTAACTTTCTCCAAGAACAGTTTCATATTCAGAGGGACAGCCTTCAGGCTAGGCGAGAAGCCCAAGAAGTGTCATGTGTACATAAACAGAGTGAATTGGATGGAAGAATATGGTCTGAACAGACTGCACCCCCTTCTCTCCCTTCGCAGGTAGCTCAGCATACATTTACTTCACTGCCTTCTGCTGGCACTGGAAAGATCCAGCCACAGTATTCATCTGAGAGCGTGAAGGGTCTTCTCTCAAGCCAGTCTGAAAACCAGAAATCTCGGGATGGGTCTTTGAGTTTCCTACAGCAGTTCTTCCCTTTGCATGATAGTTTGCAGTTGCTCCGAGAACAGGTGACTATACAGAGCGATGCCCTTCAGGCAAGGCAGGAAGCCCAGGCAGAATTGCTTCTGCATAGACAGAGGGATTTGGGTGAGTCTGGGCAAATGGGTTCTTCACTTCCACCAGCGGCTGCTCCATGTTTAGTTGCTTCACAAGCTTCTGCTAAAACTGAGCCTAGGAGAATTCAGAACTTTGATTTATCTGAAAAGGAGAATGTTATTCCCTCCAGTCATCCGGTAATCCCAGCATTTCAGGAGGGGCCTCGTAGTTTTCCACAGCATAACCTGCCACGGCAAGAAAATTTGACAGCACTCCAAGAACAGTCGCATACACACAGGGTAATGCTTGGTGCTGAACAAGAAACTCGGGAATTTGTACACAAACCACATGAATTAGAGAAAACGGTTTCTTCTGAACAGACTGGCACCTCTTTATCCCTGTCCCAGGTAGCTGAGTCTGAAAGATGCCAGGAGTTTATGCCAGGCAAGAGTGACGGTGTAGTTGCCTTAAGCTCTTCTATGATCCCGAGGTTTCAGGAAAGACGTCTGGGATTTTTACAACCTACATTACCTCTGCAAGATAACTTGGAGGAACACCAAGAATGGCTGGACACAGAGAAGGCGGCCCTTCATTTCAGCCAGAAAAGCCAAGGAAAGGTATCTTTGGAACAAACTGACTCCTCATTCGAGCCCCAGGTAGGGCAGCCTTCATTTACTTCGTTACCTTCTGCTGAGTCTGGTACAACCCAGGAGCCTCCTTCAACAGAGAGTGACAGCAAAAGTCTTTCAAGCCATCTTCAGATCCCACAGTTGCAGGATAGGCTTTGGAGGATATCACAGCTTATTCGGCCTCAGCAAGATAATTTGAAGGCGCTCGGGGAAAGGTTAGCTACACAGAGAGAAGCTATCATTCAGTCTAGACAGGAAGCTCAGGAAAAATTACTTCTGCACAAACAGAGTGAGTGGAAGCAAGGAAGATCTCCTGAGCATGTTGGCTCCTCTTTCTTCTCACCCCCTCTTGTACAGCATTCTCTTGCTTCATTACCTCTTAGTGAATCTGGGAGAACCCAAGAACCTTGTTCAACTACGAGTGATAATACAGCTTCCTCAAGACATTCTGAGAAACCGGGATTGCCTGATAGGCTTTTTGGTTTATCACAGCCTGTTTTACCTGAACAAGATCACTTGATTGCACTTCAGCAAGAACACTTGCATGCACGAAGCAGTTCTCTTCCGTGTGGCAAGAAAACCCAGAAACACTTGGTTTTGCCCAGACAATATGAATTTGAGGAGAAGTTGTCTTCTGAGCATTTTGTCCAGCTTCCCCATGGTGATTTGAAAGTACTTCAGGAGCAGTTAGAAATACAAAGAAGAGCCATTCGATCTAGACAGGAAGTCCAAGAAGAATTACTTTTGCAAAGACTAAGTAAATTGGAGAAAAGGGTGTCCTCTGAGCAGATTAGCTCTTCATCGGTATCCCAGGTAGCACCGCCTGTTGCTGACTCTGAAAGAATCCAAAAGCCTCTTGCAACCAGAAGTGACCGTACTGTTGCCTCAAGTCACTCTGAGATCTCAGCATCCCAGGATAGACTTCCGAGTCCATCACCGCCTCTTCTGCCTTCACAGGGTATTTTGGCAGCACGGTTGGACTTCGAGAGGGAAGTGGTGCATTCTAATGAGAAGGGCCAGGAGGAACTGTTAAACAACCAAACAAAATCGACTGCAAGTGAATCTTCCGAGCATCCTATTCCCTCTTTGTTTTTACCCACAGAAAAAAAGCATCCATTTATTCCACTCCCTTTTGCTGAAGTTAAATCTAAAAACCATGGTGAATTGTATTCATCTAAGAATGAACAGGCAGCTCCCTCAAGCAATTCCATGACCCCCAGACTTCAAGATAGACTTTTGTGTTTTTCACAACCTGTCTTAACTCTGCAAGATAACCTAGGACTTCAGAAGCAGCTGGATCTACAAAAGAAAGTTCTGCATTTTAGCCAAAAAGCCCAAGAAGAATTGCTTGTACAGAGACAGACAACACTGCAGCAGCAGGTACAGAAACATCAAGAGACTTTGAGAGATTTCTTTAAACATAGTCAGGTATGTATGAAACTTGAATACCTAGAAATTAAATCGGTGGAGGTAACCCGACTCAGACAAGCTAGAAATTTTTTTAAATTTCGGGCCTAAATAAATTCTGTTACTGAGAATAAACGGTTTGACCTTAACTGCTTTAATTTTCTACCTTAAACAATGTAGAAATTAAAACACTAAAGTTGATTCTACCTTGCATGGTGTTCATAAGGTTAATAGTTGTTTGAAGCCCAGCTAATTTCAGCCTTAGTTTGACATAGCCAAATGCAAACACCGTTAAAAACGCAGGTTGTTATTTGAAGATGTATTATAAAGGGCTTTGAGCTTGCCCTAAGATTAAATTGCAAGGGCAACTGCATGGCTCAGTTGGTTAAGCATCTGCATTCAGCTCAGGTCATGATCCCAGGGTCCTGGGTTCGAGTCCCCTGTCGGCTCCCTGTTCAGTGGGGAGTCTGCTCCCACTGCCCCTCCCTCCCATTTGTGAACTCTCTCAAAAAAATAAATTTTTTTTAATTTAAATTGCAAAATAATTAGCAGAATTTATTCTATGCAGATAGCAAGTCTTGTGCTTTCTGTATAGCACTTTGTTGACATTTGTATTTGAATCAAAATTAGTACCACCTTTTTCCTTAAGTGACAGTATCACCGTCTGTTCTAAAACTGACTTGATTTTAGGTTGATAGGCAGTTAGATCTGTTCTTACTGAATTGGTGAGAAGACTCTGGCAGGGTCATATTGACATTCGTAGTTTCTCTGTAGGGAGATGAGTGCATTCTCCTGATTATGAATTTATCCATTTTATTTTATTTTTGTTATTTTTTTAAATATTTTATTTATTTGACAAATAGGCAGAGAGGCAGAGAGAGAGGGGGAAGCAGGCTCCCTGTTGACCAGAGAGCACGATGCAGGGCTCTATCCCAGCACCCTGGGATCATGACCTGAGCTGAAGGCAGAGGCTTAACCCACTGAGCCACCCAGGTACCTCTATCCATTTTATTTTAAAAAGCCACTTCCTGAATCTATGATTTAGCCTAAAGAGAATTCTATAAATCCTTTAACATTCAAGAGAAGCTCGAGTTGGGTTCATGAGAACTTGAGTTATAGGGATTTCCTGGTCATTTTAAGGAAGAGGTAATGGGGAAAGAAAATTAGGGAGGAGTACCAAAGAGTAATGTCTTACTGGAAGATACACTGGAGGCTAAATTTTTAAGTTCAAGCCCTGTGAAAGGTGCTTTTCAGTGGAAGTCTCACCTTTTCTGTATTTTAGAGGCATATCGCATTTTTAAAAATCTCTGAAGTTGTAATATTGTGATTGATGGAACTATTCGGTTGAGGTTCTAATTTAAGAAGGGTGATGCGCATCTGGTGATCTTGTGTCATCCCCACCCTCAATTGCCCACTTTTTCAGATAAGTAAGCCCACAGCTGAAGGTGATACAGAAACTCAGAAGCTCAGAGAGTGGCTTCCTGTTCTCCAAGACCTAGCAAGGGCCGATCAGGAAGGCATCAGTTCTGCGAATAGGAGCAACTCTGGTGATAATCAGCTGCTTTCAGAAGAGAGTGGTGCCAAGCAAAGTGGTACGATGACTCCCATTTTTTTTTTTATTGTAACTATCCTGATTATTCTTTGCTTTCACTCCAGCAACCTGCTGGCTGAAGGAAAGTTTGTAGTATGTTAACAGATTGGTACTATGCTCAGCTTTGTCACTGACTTGATAGGTGAGCATCTGGACAAAGAACTGGGCAGGAGATCCTCAAAGCCACCTGTAGCAAAAGTGAAATGTGGATTGGACTTGAACCAGCATGAACTCAGTGCTATACCAGAGGTAGAGTCACCAGCAAGTGGCAGAACATCTATACTAGGTAATATGGTTTGATAAAACAAGATTTTTTTAATAGTTTGCCAGTTCTCTACATTTTTTCACAATGCTGAATTTTTTTGTCTTGAAGAAACAATCTGTGAGTTTTGGTGAAAAGAAAATAATGGTTTACATAAACAGTATTTAGAATTTGGACTTGAATGTGGCATTAGGTAACTAGTTTTTTCTCATATGTAGTGAAAATCTTTTTACTGTAGGCAAAAATTCTTCAGTTCTTCTGACACTCTTGCTTCCTTTCATGTCTGCCTTCTAAACCTGTTTCTTTAGGAGTAACTCTATTTTCTTTTCTTCTTGGCTGCTTTCCTTTTCTTTCTTTCTTTCTTTTTTTTTTTTTAAGATTTATTTATTTATTTATTTAACAGAGACAGAGAGAGACAGAGACAGAGATCACAAGTAGGCAGAGAGGCAGGCAGAGAGAGAGGGGGGAGCAGACTCCCTGCCGAGCAGAGAGCCTGATGCAGGGCTTGATCCCAGGACCCTGAAATCATGACCTTAGCCAAAGGCAGAGGCTTAACCCACTGAGCCACCCACATGCCCCACTTGGTTGCTTTTCTACTTCAATACCTTCACTGCTGTTTTCTTATATTTTTATAGGATAATTATTGCTTAAAATCCTGGTTTTAAGGACAGTTATAAGTATATTTCTTCTCTGTACTTCTTCCTAGATGCAGTTATTTAGGAAAAGTGCTCCCTGCGATCTTTAGTGAATAGCCCTATTTGAATTTCATAATTATTTTTAAAATTTAGGCTCAAATGATCAAACTTATCAAAGCACATCTTTTTTTAAGGGGGAAGATTGGCTTTGTCACTTGAAAAGTACATAGAGTATAATATTAACAACTACTTTGGTCTTAAGCCATAAAATATTGTACCTTTGTTTCTGACTTGAAAGAATTAAGGAAGATAGAGATTCAGAGTAGCTCTTAAGAATCAGTCCCCTTGGGGCGCCTGGGTGGCTCAGTGGGTTAAGCCTCTGCCTTCGGCTCAGGTCATGATCTCAAGGTCCTGGGATCAAGTCCGGCATCGGGCTCTCTGCTTGGCAGGGAGCCTCCTTCCTCCTCTCTCTCTCTCTCTCTCTCTGCCTGCCTCTCTGCCTGCTTGGTCTCTCTCTGTCAAATAAATAAATAAAATCTTTTAAATTAAAAAAAAAAATCAGTCCCCTTTCTGCTTCCTTATTGTGTCTTATGGAAGTTGTAACAATGACTTTATTTATTCCTTGGCTTTGAAAGATTCTCTCTATTTTACTGTCTTTGGCAAACCACAGCTATCTGGGAATTAGTGCTTTCCCTAATTTAGAATGCGCCCTGGGAAGTTCTCACCATTGACTCCCATGTTTTTGTTTGTTTGTTTGTTTGTTTTATTCCTGTGATTTAATGGGTCATGTTTGAGATTGTAAAAATGTCATCTTGGCTAAAAGGGAAAACTACATAGCATATAGCTCACCCTTCACCACCACCTCCTTATCCTTCAGCCTTCTCTTTTCAGGGACAAGTACTTAGATGTAAATCTTGATACTGCTCTTGTCTTTCTCTCTCCAACACCCAACAAAAATCACCAGTTCTCAGTTCTCCTTGTTCAGCTCTGGTATCTGTCCACTTGTTCCCACTCCCACTCCTGAATGCAGCCTATCATTTCTTCTTGAGTGGCTACTATAGCTTCCCAAGTCTCCGTGTTTCCAGCCTCGCTGAACTCTAATTTTCCCATGGTACATTCTGAGTAATCTCTCTCTGCATCTCTGTGTTTGAAACTCCACTGGGCTTCTGTTCAGTTGGAGGAGTAAGTCTAATTTGAGACTGAGTCTCCAGCTTCACCTGCCAGGCCCTTCCTGATCTTGCTCCTCCCTTCGGGATAGGGCTGATAAAGGGCCCCTTCGCTGGTAAACTGGGCCTGAACTATCAAGCTTCCCTCTCTTGGGCCTTTGGAACTTTTATCCTAGCCTTTATCATACTTCTTGGGTAATACTTTTAGTTAAAATACCACAAGCAGGGGGGCCTGGGTGGCTCAGTGGGTTGGGCCTCTGCCTTCGGCTTAGGTCATGATCTCAGGGTCCTGGGATCGAGCCCTGCATTGGGATTTCTGCTCAACGGGGAGCCTGCTTCCCCCTCTCTCTCTGCCTGCCTCTCTGCCTACTTGTATTCTCTCTTTCTCTGTCAAATAAATAAATAAAATCTTTTAAAAAAATACTATAGGCAAATGGTTTTAAAACGCAAATAGAGGGGCGCCTGGGTGGCTCAGTGGGTTGGAGCCTCTGCCTTCGGCTCGGGTCATGATCCCAGGGTCCTGGGATCGAGCCCCGCATCGGGCTCTCTGCTCAGCAGGGAATCCTGCTTCCTCCTCTCTATCTTCCTGCCTCTCTGTCTACTTGTGATCTCTGTCAAATAAATAAAATCTTTAAAAAAAAAAAAAAAAGCAAATAGTGCTAAAAGTTTATAACATGAAACAGCATTTTTTTGTGCCCCTACCTACCACTTACCCCTTAACCTTACCAGAGGTAGCCACTTTTTAAGTCTTTTATGAGTTTCTTCTTATATTTACCACATGACTTCGCAATGAATTTTAGGAAAAATTAAGCTAAATTACCGTTACGCTTATGTATAATGTTTTTCACTGCCAAGGTAATTAGTGTTGTAAAACTTTCTTGTATCGTTTCCTTTTTTTAATTTGCTTGAAGTTTCTGTTGCATATCTGTCTTCTAACACTAATACTTCTATCACATACCTCTAATAGAAGGTGAGATCACACCAGTTTCTCTGTGAAACACCTTCCACTTGAAAGTTGGGGGAGCTCTGTCATGTGTTCTTAATAAGGGTGTTACTGCTTCCAAAGAGGACAAGAATTGGCTCTTGGGGAGTTGAAAAAGTCTTACTCTCTTTATGTACCAAAGTACAGGTGTACATAAAAAGATAAAGAGTGTATCTGTAGTTATTAGAATTTCGTGGCAGTAGGAGGCATGTAGAACAAAAGATAATGGCTACAGACTCCTTGGGCAGGCGATGACAAGTCATGTTGAGAGAGACTCATCCATATTGATCTTCCAGTTTCTTCTGTAGCTCATTTCTTCTGCTTTTGGTTTTTCTTTCTGGAAGAATTTCCTTAATTTTTTTCTAACTTATCAATTTTCATTTTGACCATCAAATTGCAGTTTCTAAAGTTTGCTCTTTTTCTGGTTCTGTTTTGTTTTTCTTTTTTCATAGCATCCTGCTGTTATCTCACAGGTGCAATGTATTACCTGCTTTGAATGTATATAGTGTTTTGTTTGTTCGGGTTGCTGTATTTTCTCAGTTTGTCTGAATTCTTCTGTTCCTTTTTATTTGTTTCTCATTTTTTAGAGGCGTTTCTCTAATGTCTTGCATATTTGAGTCGGATGCTGAAGGCTAATTAGAAACTATAAGCAGGGGCCTTTGTTACCTGCTGAACTTCATTAGAAAAGGGGGTTTCTCACTGGGTACCCTCAATTTAGTATCTGGAGTTCTTTTCCTTAAGGCAGTTCAGAGTTTAATTTATTTAAGATCCTCCAATCTTGAAACAAGTCTGGCTGTTGCTATCTGGAGCCAGACGCGGGGGCATCTGCGTTGAGGTGCGCACTGGAATACCCCTAATTACCTTATGGCATTCTCACTGCTTTCCACCGCTGCTTCCTTTTAGCACCAAGCCCCGTTTTCAGAGTGTATTGGATTCAGTTTCTCCAGAGAATAAACCTTTAGCCTTCTGTGGGGATGATGCTGAGGGACAGGGATCCCAGGAGATGGGATGGATCTGTTCCAAGTAGATATTTCTAAACATTCTCCCTGTCTTCTGTTCCCTGGTGACACTTCCCTTATGTAATATTTGGTGCCTTGAATTGCCAAGTGATTCTACGGTTGTGCACAGTAGATTAGCTTCTGCTTTGGGGTATCTCCCATTCTTCTGTTTCTTTACTTGTCTGTTATTTTTGTATCAAAGTATAACATTCAGAGAAGTACACAAATCCTATGTGTTTATTTCAGTGATTACCACTGTAATAGCCACCCCTAGGTAGCCACCACTCAGGTCAAGAATTAGAACCTTAGAGAACTCCTCAAACCCTCCTCTTGTGTCCTCCCAATTACAGTCTCTCTGTTTCTCCAGAGTAAACCTCTACTTTGATTTCTTATACCACAGAGTAGCTGTGGCTGTTTTTGACTTTATGACCACAGACTGCATCTTACAATATATTAATGGTTAAATTCTCCAGGCATTTTTTTTCTGTGAGTGATTAGTCAATCCTGAAGTATTATTTAGTGTTAGAAGTGGGACTGTCATTAAAAAGTTAGTAAAATCAGGGGCACTGGGTGGCTCAGTGGGTTAAGCCTCTGCCTTCGGCTCAGGTCATGATCCCAAGATCCTGGGATCGAGCCCTGCATTGGGCTCTCTGCTCAGTTGGGAGCTTCCTTCCCCCCACCCTCACCCCCGCCTGCCTCTCTGCCTGCTTGTGATCTCTGTCTGTCAAATAAATAAATAAAATCTTTAAAAAAAAAAAGTAAAATCAAAGTGAAATAATTTAAAGGCCTGTGTGAAAGATAAGTGGTTATTTTCTTGCTACGTAGATCTTTGCCTGTAATCTAAATTGCCATTTTTGTTTTAACTACTAACTCTAAAAATGTAAGTGAAAATCTAATGAGTCCATCTTTTCTTCCTTCCAGGTAAACCAGATTTTTATCAAGACAGGGACCCCCTAAGGGTCTCAATAAGCCGAGAACAAAGTTTCTTTGGGAGCCAACTGAACTGTGATGCATTTGGTTGTCTTTACCCCATTGCCCAGGAATACGTTTGTAATGATGACTCCAAGGAAGCAGGTGAGAGATAGAGAATAGGCAGTGGAATTGCTATGCACAGGGGTGTGTGTACGAAAGATATTTAGTGGTACTTTGTAATGAGAAATGGTGAATAACTTTAGTGACTATTGGTAATAAAATCATTATGGTGTATCTGGACTTGTTAAATGAAGGGGGTAAAACCTGTCTTTATGCATTGAAAAATGTCCGGAATGATAATCACCAAAGTGTTGGTATAGGTTTACCTTTGTTGGAGGCTAGGTTTCACTTTCTGTTTTATATATTCATGTATTATAGGTTCTTATTACCTTTTTTACAAAAAGCATGTATTATTTCTTTGCACAAAAAGCTGAATGAGGGAGTAAAGTTTATTTAGAGAATAGTAATTTTGCCTTTAAATTATTTTTCTAAATAAATGCCAATAGGAAGTATATGAGGGTATGAGGTTTTCACCACTGGCAACCTCTACAGATTTTGTATTTAAGCCTATTTGTAACAGTCCATATTTAATTTAATATTATTAAATATTATCTTTAAAATATTCTGTGGCATTCTAAATGACATGCTTTATCTTTAAAATATTTGGAAAAGAGGGTTACAAGGAAAAAACTTTAAATCACTTAATCCTGCCTCCAAACACAACCAGCATTAATTTTTTTTTTCACTTTTGAATTTCTGCAAGTACCTAACAAACTGTTTCATGTGTAATATTGTTTACCCTACAAAGCATAGTTCTGGTTCATTCTACTGTATTCGTTCCAAAGTATCTTTTAAGCAATTACCTTTTCTAACCAGATTTCTTTTTATTTTAGCTGTCACTATAGTTTAATAGAATGAGAGACAAGAGAGAGCCAACAATTTAAAATGAAACTGTTACCATTCTTTTAGATTTAGCCAGTGGACTGGCTAAATCTCTGTTGGTGTCCTCTGGTCAGAGAGGACCAGGAACTTACCTATAGTTGAACAGAGCTGAGTGTCCTGACTTGTTGCAGTGAAGTAGAATGCTCACAACAGGGAACTGGGAGGTGTCTCAGTACAGGTATTAGAAAGGACTTAACTGTCTATAAGATTTGGGCTTGAATAAGGTGATTTGGGGGAGGCTTCAAGGAAATGGGGCCCTGCTTATGAGTATTGGATGTTATCAGGAAGCAGGGGCAGTTCCATTATTGGAATTATCCAGGAGGCAGGAATAATGGAGTGAGGCTTACGAAAGCTGTAACTAGTGAAGGAGAAGCAGTTACTCATATTTAAAAAAAAAAAAGCAAGAAATTAAAACATCAAAGTGCAATAAGTGGTTGCTTATGACTGGTAGGAAAAGGATGAATTTTCCTTCTTTATAACTTATGGTGCTTTCTAAAATAATGAGCACGTACTGCTTTTATTATAAATCATCATTCTCGACACGTCTGGATGGCTCAGTCAGTTAAATGTTTGACTCTTGGTTTCTGCTCAGGTCATGATCTCAGGGTCATGGGATCAAGCCCTGCGTTGGGCTCCGTGCTCAGCACAGCGTCTGCTAGGGATTCTTTCTCTCTCTCTCTCTCTCAAATAAATAATCTTTTAAAAAATTTTTCTCAATTATATTTGACGTATTAAAAATATATAAATCACACTTTTTGTCTCACTTAATTCAGGCGAAGATAAGGAGATGCTTGGTCATTTTTGTGGTTTGGATAATACTCTGGTTTTGTCTGTGTTTAGCTGTGAGTACTGGTTGCCTGATTTTTGTCTTGATCCATCATACGCACAGAGCAGCCTTTCCTATTGGTATTCTGTGAAATTGTTCACATTTAACAGGAGAACACTAAGGCCTCTCTGATTGTGCCAGGGCAGCTCCTGGTTCCCGGGGACTGCTTTTCTCTTCCTCATTCATATTGTTTCTGTTTTAGAAAAGAACGAGTCGGCTTTGTTACTTCTCTGTTCCCTCCCCTCCTCTTTATTCACGTCCTCATCACTCAGCCTGATTTCTTAGTAGCTTTATGATGGGATCACTAACTTCCAAGCTCTGTGCCCTTTGCTTTTGTTGGAAGGTGGGAAATGGTGCTTTGCTTCGGAAGAAAAACGGGAAATTCTTGGGTGTCATGGGAAGACGACTCTGTTCAAGGCATTGCTTTCATGATGCTCCTTCTCCTTTTCAGTAATGCATCAGTGAGTCCTTTCCAAACCAGTGATCCTCGTTTCTCTTCCAGCTCTTTCAGGGACCTCTGTACTGAATTCTGCAACATTTCTCCAAAAGAAAGCACCTTGTTCCTTTCTTACTTTTATTTTCTACCTCTTATTCTACCCAAATCTTCTCCCTGGGGGAATCTTCTTGGTATGTTACAGATAACAGTATAGTTATATGATTATGAATTGGTAAGCCCCAGATTAACTTATCTCCCCAACTAGCTTTTGAAATGAGGTGCCTAGGAAAAAATAACAACTTACTATAAAATTTCACCATATCTTAGTTTCTCTACTGAAAATTTTACTGTGTTTAGAAGAACCCAAGTAACAATTTATTGGTCATATCAGTTAGGTCAAAATAATACATTTCAATGTGTGTGTCCTGGGTCTTTGAGAAAATATTTCTTACAAAAACGTTTAAGAAACATAAAAAAAAAAAAAAAAGAAACATACTTTTAGTGTGTATGATTTCTCTTAATAAAATCATGGTGAGGGCACCTGGGTGGCTCAGTGGGTTGGGCCTCTGCCTTCGGCTCGGGTCGTGATCTCAGGGTCCTGGGATCGAGTCCCGCATCGGGCTCTCTGCTCGGCGGGGAGCCTGCTTCTCCCTCTCTCTCTCTCTCTGCCTGCCTCTCTGCCTACTTGTGATCTCTCTCTGTCAAATAAATAAATAAATAAATAAATTCTTAAAAAAAAAAATCATGGTGATAATGAGACACAATTTTAATTTATATATTTGGTGGCACAGTTTTAATCTTACTCTGTTTCAGAGCCACAGATAACTATACACTTTGACCAGCTTTCCCATAAATGTTGACTGTTGGAGTAAGAGAAAAATAAACTCAGAATAGCTGAATTCTTGAGTGAGGTCAAATAATTTTTATATATTATATTTTTATATGCATTTTTCTCAACTTTGAGATCATACTGTATTAATGATTGAATATTCTTGCTTCACTTAATAACAAAAGCATTTCCCAGCATACTGGTAATTTTCTTTCTGTAGAATATAAGTACAGTTTTCCAGGGAAAAGCATATTATGCTGACTAGGAAATGTTTTTAATGATTAATAAAATGAATGTTTTTGTTTCTTTTTGGTCTAAGACAATTCTACAAAGGAAAATATGAAAGAAAACTGTAGGAAAATAGAAATGATATCCTCTGGTGCTAAGAATTTGACTTGTAATAATCTAAACTACCCCCCTCTGCCCCTAATTTCAGTCACGGTCAAGGAGGCTATGGCTGAGAATCATGCCGTGGAGGAAGAACAGACATATCTGAGTCCAACTATGAAGCCGGATAATGTTAGTAGTGTCTTAATGTGTCCTCCATTGTTAGAGCTGTTTGGTTTCATGTTGTCTTTTAGTTTATAGAAGTTGTGAAATACTGAAGTCTGTGTTTTCTGAGATCTGCTCTTACTGAAGTGGATCAATGATGAAAATAGCCAAATCTGAGCATCAGAAGACCTTCCAGTCTACCTGATGCATGATCTCTCTAGTTCTGAGAAGCAAAAGTAACTTAGAACAATAAGGGCTTATGTCTAGAGGGGTGTGTGTGTGTATGTGTGTGTGTGTGTGTAAAGGTGACTGAGTATAACTGAGGACTTGATAGATGGGTGTGTGTGTGTGTGTGTGTGTGTGTGTATGAGACTAATGAGTTCTGAGCAATGATGAAAAGGTTTTACTGCTGACCTTTACAACTATGACGGTTTCTACACTTGATCTGAGCTCAGAATTGATAACTGCTAATGTCACTGATTTGGGTTTTTTTCTAGCTGTTACATTGTGGTCTTACATTCCTCTTCATTTTTAGGCTGAAACAGAAGAGATTTATCATGAGCCATTATCATCAGTAACTGTTTCTACTGGGAGCTTTTTAAGTTATGAAAACACGGATCTGAGCCTTACAGATCCAGGTAATAAAGTCAGAATGTTTGTAAATAAACTGAAAGACCAGCATCAGTCGAGGTCAGTACAGTGGTGAGAGCAAACATTGAGAGCTTGTCCCAATGTGCTGAGGGATTGTATCTTTAAATCTCAGTAGTAAACTGTTCGTGCCTGAGAGGATAATGGGCAGTATGATACTCTAAACATTATTGGGAGTTCCAGGCCTGCAGACCCACAGGGATGCTCTTTGGTTCTCCAATATTTTCAGAATTATCTGCTTTGTCACATTTTCCCATTCAGTGGGAGCCTGAGCAGATTTCTTAATTGCTCAGATCCTCATCAGTGCATATTGCTGTGCTTCTCTCCCAGAACTTGTCTCTCAGGAAGTGCCCAGCCACTAAGTATTTTCATTAAACTCAATTTTTAGGGTCATTTTCAGAGCTGGACCCAAGGGAACAAGAATCTACCACTGGTAAAGAAGAGGAAAGAGATATTTTAAGTTCTGTACTTCCCTCATCACAAGTTCATTATCAAAGACAGGACTCTCAGGAAGTTCATCAACCTCTGTTGCCTGCAGTGGAAAAGTTTACACCTGGTAAGACACACATGCAGCAGATGAGAGGCAAGCACAGAAATGAAGCAAATTTGATGACTGAAAAAAACAGACTTGAGGGTAAAATTATTTTTTTTTTAAGATTTTATTTATTTATTTGACAGAGAGAGAGAGATCACAAGTAGGCAGAGAGGCAGACAGAGAGAGGGGGAAGCAGGCTCCCCGCCGAGCAGAGAGCCTGATGTGGGGCTCGATCCCAGGACCCTGGGATCATGACCCGAGCTGAAGGCAGAGGCTTAACCCACTGAGCCACCCAGGCGCCCCGAGGGTAAAATTATTTTGAACGCTTTTATATAACCTTTCATCCTTTTAGTTTTAAGGAATGATGGTTTGAGCTTCATGTCTTTATGGCCTGCTGCGGCAGTTCTGACGCAATACATGGAAAACGGCATTTAGTGAGAGGAGATCTGGAATGAGTTAGACTGAAGAACATGTAGCAGAGATGAACGGATCTTCCTTTACCATTGCAAAGTTAGCTTAACAGCTGAGGCAGTATTGCCAATATTGAGAATAAGATCAGACCTCGAGTCCCTAGTTTGATCGTTTCTTAGCTGGGAGACAATAAACACATTGCTTACTCCTTCATCTTCTGTTAAAAAGGAGATGTTGGAGATTAAATGAGATAATACATATGAAGTACGATACCAGGCCCATAGTAACACCCTGTACAGGAACTTTTCTTCTTTTTTTAAATCACAGATACTAAAATAAGTGAGAATAACCAGCGCTTAATACCAAAGCAGTGATCATAGTGGCTTCTTCTAATTAATGTCAAAAGACTTTGGAGCTAGTGAAAATGGAAACTTGGTCAAAGGTTTTGGTCATTGAGAGTATCCTCATTTTTTGTATGTGGGACATAATGATAGGACTTAATTTGAAAGCGCCTGCTGCTGGAGCACCTGGGTGGCTCAGTGGGTTAAAGCCTCTGCCTTCGGCTCAGGTCATGATCCCAGGGTCCTGGGATCGAGCCCCGCGTCGGGCTCTCTGCTTGGCAGGGAGCCTGCTTCCCCCTGTCTCTCTGCCTACTTGTGACCCCCCTCTCTCTCTCTCTCTCTGTCAAATAAATAAAAAACATCTTTAAAAAAAAAAAAATGAAAGCATCTGCTGACAATGAAAAAAATGGAATTAATTTCATTAAATTGCAGTTACCTAAAATTAAATTTTATCTTTTTTCTCAAAATTACAACAGTTGACCTTGACTTTCCGGAGTTGGAGCACACTTTTCCAAATTTGCATCGTCAGCTATTTAAACCCTTAGAACCACATCCAGATTTTGATATATCATCATATTCTGGGATTTCTCAAGACAGTGGAGACTTTTGCCAGGTACATTAATGTCGGTGCTTCATTGCTGTGAATTTCCAAAAACAAGAACAAAAAAAAAAAGAACAGTAGTTCCTCACCTTGCTGCCGATTAGGATCACATGGAAAGCTTTTAAAAATCCCAGTGTCCAGGCTGTACCCAGACCAATTAAATCAGAGTCCCTAGGCGTGCTTAGATTATCAGAAACTTTTTTTGGGCTCCCCAAGCGATTCTGATGTGGAACCAAGATTGAAAACAAGCTGTACTAGAATTTTGTCCTGTCAGCCTTATCTCTAGCTAATGAGTACCATGCATAAAATGCTCAAGAATATTTTTATGGTTTGTGTTTTTTTATTACTAATTTTATAAAATTTAAAGCCTTTTCCTATATAGTAAAGCAGCTGAGATTTGAACCTCGGTCTTTCTGCTCCCATACCCTGACATCCCAGGCTGTCCTACATAATAGTTCCTGCCTTTGAAAATGATCTCATTGTATTCTAAACTATGGTTAATTTGCAGTTTTCTAATAATTTTTGTCAAAGTCTCTTTCATATTAACTGAAATGGAAGAATTGGGTTTAAGTAAAGTAATAGTGTGAAAGTAAAGTGGTAATTAAGGCAGAGTAGTATCATAGGAACATGACTATTAATCCAGTTGGTAATACAAAATCCGTATTTCAGCCTTAACCTGTTGTTTTCCGTCAGAACTCAGATTCTTCATGTGAAAGCCATCACACTGTTGCAGCACCCAGAAGCACAGTTTCCTTTACAGCACTAAAAACCAGCCTGAATTCTTCTAACACGAGCCCAAACCAGCAGCTGGACCCTCCTTTGGCTCATGCTGCTGCTCAGATATTTGCCACAGAAAAGACTGAAGGTATGATTAAGTTAAAAAATACTTTTGCTTTATTTACACCCATTACACCCATTTTCCTTGGAAATTGTGCCTAGCACCTCTTGGTCACTCCTGTCCTCACCCATTTCCAGTGTCACAGCTTCTGTTTCTCTGTGTATTCATTTCAATAACAGAATAATGATCAGTTTGCATTTTTACAGTTCTGAACTTGATAAAATAAAAGTGCTGCTCAACCCTTAGAGTTAAGTTTTAAGTATTCTTCTAAAACTTCTTGTACAAACTTTATATATACACACACATACATATTTTTATTTGAGATACACATGTACATTTTAGTCTAAGTTCTGTCATTAAAATCAGTATTCTCTCTTAGGGAAGAGTCCTCATGTCTAATAACCATATTTTATTAGGCTAGGAGAAAATACATGGTAGGAGCAGAATTATTTGAAAATCACTCTGACCATCCTTTTAGTTTTCTATTCATGTAATCTGACTTCATTATTTACAATTTAGTCAGACTATTAGAGATTGTATCTGTATCCAGGTTTTACAACATGTAATTATGGTTAACTTATTTCTTTCAGGATCTGAACAATCTTTTCAACAGCTTCTGCCGGAATTTTCTTCACAGGAGGGGAGCCAACATATTGATCTACCAAGTATTTTTAGCATTGAAGCAAGAGATTCTTCCCAAGGCATGGAAAATCAGAACTATTCTGAACAGATTGAAATGCAAAATAAGAAAAAAAGTGTTCATTTCCACCTCTGTGTAGGAAATTTACAGAGTTCAGTCTTCAGTTCCTCTGATGAGGCTAATGTATTTCATCCCTTAAGTCTACAGTATAGCACGCCGTGTGGGTCTACCTCTAGTGAGTGCTCAACAAAAGCCCAACCTGAAGGCAGAAAAGAAAGACTGGGCTTTGAAGAACTATCAGAAAGAGGACTTGATGGAGATAAAAATGAAAGCCTTGGGGTTTTAAATATAAATTCACATGCGGAGGAAATGGATTCTCAATCCTGTGTCAGAACAGTGGAAAGGGGAACTTCAGTCGAGGCACCATATTCTATTGAGAATGAAAAGTATTTTAAGAATTCCACTAAGACAGAAACTCCAAAAATCCCAGGAAACCTTTCTCACCTAGCAGAGTCAGAGCTCTTTTTAAGTTCTGGATCATTACAGAGCTCTATTCCAGTGTGGGTGAGTGAAATGTTGTATGTAAATAAATTCATTTCCACAAGTCTTTTGAAACCAAATTCAAGAGAAGCAACTGAGATTCTTGCTGATATTCCTGAGATAGTCAATCTCGTAATCATTGGAAATCTCCAACAAAAGGTCTGCTCCCAGTTGACACATCCTTTTTCTTTTCCGATGGCTTGACCTGTGCTTCAGCCTTTGATCTGCTTGTTCAACTCCAGTCACCTGAATATGGTTTTCACTTTCTAGTAGTTTGTTCTTTTACCGATAAACATAGATTAGAAATTATATTGACAGCAAGAGTGACATCTGGGCCACATTTTGCGTTTTATTTTGCCGCTTTTGGGTGGTTTTGTGTTTGTTTTGCAAATTCTTGTTCAGTAATTAAAGACACTTCCTCTAAAAATGTGGTTTGGCAGCAGTGGCCTCTATCTGGCTGCACCCCACCAGCTACTGATCCCTTTTGATAGATGACGCCCTCAGGTTCTACACAGCTCCCAGTCAACCTGCATTTGTACTATCTGCGTAGCCCCATAATAAGCATTTGGGCTTACAACCCTTGCAATAGCTACTTTCAGACAATTATTATTTTGCCCATCCCCAAAGTCCTAAGTATTTCTAAAAGTGGGTCAGGGGTGGGGGAAGGCACCACTGTGGTCTTCACGGACCACCGTTCTTCTTCCTCTGTAACGTAGATTATTTTTGTATTTTTAATGTTTTAAGCATATGGTTTCCTTTTGAATTTTATTGCACAGGAGACAGAGTCTGGCCATGGTATAATAGAAGAACCAGAGCTTACATTAGTAAGCACCAGTGATATCAGTATTGCTGAAATGGATCTTGCAAATCTAACACTAGAAGAAAAGAAAGGAAATGAGGCAAAAAGCAGTTCTCAGGTAAACTTCATAGCTCCCTTTAATATGAATACACCTCATTAATAGAGCAACACAACAAACTGAGAGTAAGGCAACAGGTCTTTTAAGTAGTTTCTGCATGATATTTTTTTACATTAGAATTGTTTGCAAACTAATTTCCTTCCCCTTTCTGGGTGCAAATGCACTCAACTACACAGTGAACAGGGAGAGGTTACTTGTTCACACAGTGAACAAGCAACTGACAGCAGACAGGAAGAGAGACCAGCTCTCAAACTGCCCAATAGCATTGTGTTGTGCCATTTAATAGTCCTAAAGACATTCATCTTACGATGCTATAGTTTTCATTAGGACCCGGAATTACTGGAACTCAGGAATGAATTGATTCAGTGAAATATTTTGTTCCAAAAAAGGCAGTGGAGCTCTAGAGAATAGGTAAAAATCAGACCTGAGGGGGATACAAAATGAGTGCTATTACCTTAGAAGTTTATTTTGTGCGGGTCAGTCCCAAAGGAAAAATGAAGATATATTTCAAGTTATAAAACACAAAAATGGGTTTTAAGTTCTGTTTGCTGCAGGTTCTTTATAGTTTTCTCCACTGCAAGCAAACCATTCCTCCTGGCCCACTTCACTGCTTAGGAGATAGTCATTGGAGGGAATTGTGCCACAAATTTAATTCTAGTTAATTAATAAGGACTCTAGGTTATGGTAGATGAATTCATTGATCACAGAACTGCAGCCTGGAAACAAAAAATCTAAGTCCCAACCCACCAACTGTTTGATGCAGTGTATTAATTTACCCTCTTACAGAGAAGTCCCAGATTCTCTATAGTACTGTGGCAGGACTTTTCTTATGGCCTGATACTGTATTAGATTACTTATCTAAAAAATGGCTGCATACCTAGGACTTTTTGCTGTGGTTACTGATAAGGGTAATTTGGGGAAGCAGGAGACAAGTAGAGCGGATACAGAAGTGGTTTGGAAGAACCTGACAGGAATTGGGGTGGGGAGAGGGGGAGCTTTTGGCTAGAGTAGGCTGGTCAGATAAAACATTTTAATAGGAATAAAGTCTTTTTTTTTTTTTTTTTTTAACTTCCCTTCCCAGAAAACTTAGTCTTATGAGAACCAGCACAAAGGAAGAATAGAAGCTAAGTTTAGCTTAGAATAGAAGCTCAGTTTATGGGACATAGATTCCTATACTGCATTTAAGGATTAGAGTAAGGCATCGCTGCCTACCTCCCCCAAAAACCACATCTGTCTACCTGAGGAAACCAGGGGTTTAGAAATTGTTAAAGGTTTTAGAAGCTATGCTTGTGATACTGTTCAGAGATGAAGCCGTAAATTCATCTATAATTTCTTTTTTCCTTTTTTTTTTGCAATTAGGTGAGTGAATTTCTACCTTTTGTATCAGTAACAGAAACCTCGGATTATCCAGATGTATCTGAACACGGCACGGAGGAGCGCATGATTGTGTCTGCAGGTAGGCCCTTGAGAATCTGAAATGGTTAGTGTTACCCAAGGGGCCAGCAGAGTTCCCCATTCAATTCCAATAGTCACACTGCCCCACAATCTTGTACACTACTTCCACAATATAAAAAGCTTCATTTTTTTTTTTTTTTTTTTTTTTTTTAAAACAGAAACCCCTCCAAAGATTATAGCTCTACCTGGGAGCTTACAAGAAGCATTTATAAAGAGGAAAAAATCATTTATAGAAAGATCCTCCCAGAGACAGAAAGAAATAAAGAATAAAATTCGTATTCCTGAAAATTCTCAAATCAAAATAGCTAAGGAGAAACCTACAGGTATGTTCCACATAATCTGCATCAGCTCTCACAGAGAATGAAGCATTGTAATATTTGCCAAGTCACTTGTTCTCTGCTCAGGCTCATCTGTGAATCGCCTGAAGGATGTGAATAAAGTTAAGGTTAAAGTGTTACTTCCTAAAGACAGAAAGACTACACAAGCCCTCATGCATCAAAGGGCCCTAAGGTATAGATGGTGTGTGTGTGTGTATGTGTGTGAATAGGAATTCACATTCCATCCTTAGATCTGCGTATACATTTCTTACAGATCATACAATCAATTAGCTGAAGTCAAACAGCAAAGGGAAGAGAAAGCAAAGCAAGATGCATACGCCCAAAACAGAGCAAGGACTAAAGAATTTCATAAGGTGAGCTAGGCCCCCTACAATTTTTCTGTGTCTAGGGTATACTACGATGGGTAACATACTAAATTTTTGGGTTTTTTTATTCCCTCCACAGCAAACACTGGAGAAACTTAGAGCCAAAAATACATGCTGACTTTCTACTAGAAGTGTAAAGTTTTTTTTAAATTATGTGTAACATAGGCAAAATTATTTAAAGCCAATAAATTTTTATTTAAGGAGTTTTTACATGTGATTCCTTCCACTGCCAGTCACTGCTCATCACCATAGTTCCTCCAAAGTTAGAATCATAATCTTCAAAACGGCCCTGAGAACAAGAGTATATATTATATACATTAGTTAAACTTGGGGAGACATTTTTCCCACTTGACTAATCATAGACAGAAGCAGCTAAATCTTGTATCTCCTCAGGAAAACATAGCACTATTGAGTAACTATTACATCCAATGGAGAACTCCAATATTTGGTCACAGCGTTAAGAGCTCTTGGTTTTCGTCCCACAAGCCCTCTTTGAAATGACCTATAAATTATTTTTTCAAATGTGTACATACCTTTTAAAAAGAACTTGATCAATCCACAGTTGTCACTGTCACTCCTATATAACAGGAACATAAAGTAAGGTTCCAATTCCAGAGATGATCATGTAAACTGAAGCCAGCCTCCCTCTACTAAATCTATTCTAACTTGTTATTAATATGGAAGGAGTTAGCAAAAGACATCTCTTAGAGATCTAGGCATTCACTGTTCAGTATACTAGCCATGTATGTTTAGATGAGAATCTGAAATAGGACCATTACCAAATCACGTATGGCTTCTGTTAAATTTATACTGGATAGTGCTAATCTAAGGCAATGGAAATAGAACAGAGTTGGTAAAATGTTCCCAATAGGCTGAATGCTACCACCAAAGTAGCAGAAAGAAAGAAAACCTAGTTGGAAAATTTTTTTATGGTCATGTCCACAGCAAATGAGAAACTGCATTCTCAAAGCCTTGGTAATGACCATTATACCATTATACAGTACAACAGCGAATTAACTTGCCAGAGTTCTTTCAGCTGGGTTTCTTGCATCTCCATTTGAATACGGACATACTTTAAGAACTCCCCACCTATGGAAAATTTTCAAGTTTAGACTACACTTTGCACAATGCAGTTAATTAGGCTCCCAAGTATCCTGAAACCCAGTTCTATACTAGTATGTGCTGAAAATTGCAGACTTAAAACTACAAAGTTGGAATAACTGCTTTCAATCCAGTTCATTTAAATGTTAGGAACAAAGATATTTTAAACTAAAGCTATATTCATTTGCATTCATACCCTAATTGGCATGAAATGCCCTCTGGTTGTTAACTCCAAAGTAACTATTCATGTTTCAGTTAACTTTTACTTTAGAGCTTTTGCTGGAAAATAGAGCACAGATCTCATTTAGATGGATGTTCAGAAAGGCTACTTTCATTCAGCGCATTCAGAGCAGTTGAACATTTTGCCCATCATCATAACATCACAAATCACTGGCAAACAGTATAGACACAAACTGCGGCCTTTCAACATCTAGGGTTTTGTGTTGTTTTTGTTGTTTTAAAGTGGGGAGGTAATGAACTACCAGGACTAGTGGCTATCAAAATTGGGTAAATTAATGGATTCCATCTCCTAGGGCTTCTGAGGGGAAATCTTACCTGTAATCTTTGGTATCCAATGTCTTTACTTCAGGGCCCTAGAAGTCAAATTGTCGAAGTACACTGATTGCTATTTTGGCAAACAGATCTAAAATCATCCCTTAACTATTTCTAATGCTGAAGTCTTATTTCTTCCACTCTACTCCACGAGCCTAACAGAAAATGTTACAGGCCTCATTGTCACCAAAGCAATAAACTTGCTGTGATGGAAGCATAACCTGTGTCTCAATGTAGCCACATTAACAATTTCTGGACACCATGAACAATGGTGCCCATTTCCATCTACAATGAGGCTTTATAGAAGTTCCTCTCAAGCTTAAAATCTATACAAATTTTCTGCCTCTGTACCGAAGTCCTGCTGTCTTGCTAACCAGATAAAAGCAAGCAGCCACTAGAAGCAACTGAAATTTAAGCCTTACCTGTTTAGGGTCTGAGTGTGGATCTGCCTGGTTCTCAATTTCAAACACCCTAGAAAAAGAGAAGCATTACTTCCTCTTGAAAATTATCTCAAGCTGAACAGTATGAAAAACTGTGAGAATACTGTTTCAATAAAAATACCAGGTTTAACATGCACGAAGCCAAGAAAACCAACGATGCCAGATACTGAGTTTCTATTGCACTGTCCTTTGAACACTCAGCAGGAATGAGCTGCTGAGGGCAGATACCATGCAGTGCGATCCTGCCAGATACATAAACCCCTCTACCTCTAGGCTACAGTGCTACTTCTAAGAAACGTCTCTCTACAAATTTAAGTTCTTGTAATATGTAATTAGACCTTTATTCCTAATTGTCATTCCAATAAGACAACTACACCTAGTCCTGATTACCGTTCCTGTCCCTGTATAATGCACATATAGAACTGTTAAGTCAAATCACTAAAAGAAATGATGCATTAGAAATCAAAATTAGTTGCTATTATTAAGCAGAATTCCTTAAAAAAAAAAAAACCCTCAATATCTCTGTTGTAATATATCCAAATATGTTATTAGGATGAACCATAGGAACTGTTTAATAAAGATACAGAAGAGGGCATTTTCATGTTACTCCCTAGACATGCAGTCTCTTCAGTTTGTCAAGTATTGTGGCAAATATTTCTACCAAGATCTTGATACTTCTGTTGCATGCCCAAATAACTACTGCACACAACAATATGCTGACCTCACAACTTACTTTTCAGAACTTTTGGATCCTTAATAAATTTCAACAAAAATTGGATTTTCCACCTACCTCTAAATGTGAATGAGTTCAAATCATATTCACCCCTATAGATAAATATCAAAAGATTAAGGACAGTTTTAAGTTTGATTAAAATCCAAAATCTAAATATATGATTAGTATCCAAACTGTTTTTTTTAAGCTATAACCAGCTCTGTCAGAATTAAGTTTTAGTTCATGTCTGTATCATCCAGCAGTTGAACAATTAAATTCATCATCTGAACTGTAACAGTACCCCAAAGATTACACTGTCCCCAATGAAAACTTACCTAAACTATCACCCTAGAACTGTACAGATTGTTGGGATACACCAATACCTAAGATTTAAAAAATATGACTATTAGGTCAGAGTTTTAGCAGATAAGGGTAAGTGTCTTGTAGTTCTTTCCCACAGATCTAACACATAGTTCTGTGAATAAAGGAAACCACACAAATACTCTATGAGGCGTTTCCAACGATGTAGGTCTACAGAAAAAGCCCCATCGGGATAGACCTCAACACTGTTTAGTTTAAAATTGGAAGATTCCACAGGAAAAACAATTAGAACTGTAATTTGCTCTAAGTCTCTGAGTTCAAAGGTGTGCAAAAAGCCAAATATTTACAAATTAAAAGAAATCATTCCACATATTACACAGTAAGGGTTTTTAAAATGCTTACAGGAAGGAGTCAGTCTACACTGAGAATAAAGACCAAAGACTGAAGGTAAGTACAAAACAGCTACTAGAGAACCACCAAAGGAAGATTTCCATACCTAAGTCTTGATTTCGGCAAACTCCAGTATCACAGCTTGTTTTGTCTAGGACATCCGCAGATTACAGCAAAGTGTTTAATTTTTTGCCTCATCTTAAGAGCTATCATTACTTGATGTAACTTATAGAAAAATACAGGAAAATATTAAGGTGGCTATATTGTTGTTCTTCCCATTCAGAAAATCATTGGAAGATAAACAAATTGGGTGCTTTTTAATTAAATTTTGCATCATTCAGATTTAGGTAATCTTGTGTCCTCTAATCATTTCTAACATTACACTATTAAATCCTACATCTTATTTTAGATTATGCTTTAGTTTAAAATAAATGCATGAAACAGAAATATCCAGTATTTTGATTATTTCAATATAAAGTAACTTACAGTTTGTGGAAACCCTTTCCTGCAAGTAAAGTGAAGCTTGTACCTTCCACTATAAAATGTGTGGCCCCTAAAATTCATTTTTCTGAAACGTCAAATTGTAAACTGGCAAAATGTCTTTTAGTAATGAAACCGTGGAGGTATGAACTGACAAAGTACATTTCAACAAATCTGATCCACTCACCTAAAGCGTAAGATGTACCTTTAAGTCCAGACATTGTGTTCAAGTGAAAAGCCTACAAAAAACAAGGCATCTTTGTTTCATGTCAAGATTAAAATTAGAATACTAATTCAATACAGCTGAGATTTCCCTTATATGCTTCTAGTTAATTTTAGTCCTGGAATCGCCCTTCAGGTTTGTCAATACCCCCCACTATGACTTTAATCTGTCTTAGGGACTCTTGTTCCTTCTTGAAGATTTTTTATTTTATTTGACAGATCACAAGGAGGCAGAGAGAGAGGGAAAAGCAGGCTCCCTGATCAGAGAGCCCGATGCGGGGCTTGATCCCAGAACCCTGAGATCATGACCTGAGCCAAAGGCAGAGGCTTTAACCCACTGAGCCACCCAGGCGCCCCGGATCTTGTTCCTTCTTATCTGTATCAAAACTCATACTGAGCCATGAGTTCTGGGTTGCAAAAGAGGATTTATTTTTTGCACTTTGTCTAAGTCTTTGTTCACAAACTAAACAAAAACAGCAAAAGTGCGATCATAAAATATAGTAGACATTTAGTGGCACAATCAGCAATATACAGTAGTGATGAAAATTGGTAGTTGAAAGAGTCTAGATAACTAGTAAGTTATTACAGTACTACACATTTGAAGCTAAAGGTCACTTTTTTGAGTGAAATAGCCATCAAAATGGTTTTGGGTACTCTTGAGGAATGGATGGTTGGTTGTCCATCATTAGTGATTACTGTTTCAGGATTACAATCTCTGTACTTCCTTGATTTGAATGCACAACGAACACCTGGAAGTGCTTACCCTGAAACGAACAAGTATAGGCAAAATGGATCTTCTGTTTATGATTTCTCAAGTGATTATTTCTGCTATGCAAGCCTCAATTTTCTGTGATAATTTCACTGTGTTTTAAAATATTTTTTCTAGTAATTCTTTAGGAGTTTCACTAACTTGTTCAGATTTTCTTCTCTCCTTAGCAGGTTCTCTTTTATCACTACACCAACATATGTATTTGTATTTATCATCTTTACTTTCTATGAAAAGCTGTTTTCTCTCTTCTGTTTACTTTAACATTCATATTCCTATCTCTTTTCAGACCATTCTATCCTCTGTCCAATGTTTTTAGACTTTGATGCTCTCTTTTTAGACAAAGCAGCTTCTTCAGTACGTTCCTCTTGTTCTAAATACACATTCTTCATCTTTGGTACTTGAGAACTTATAATGAAATCATTATGGTCCTGCATAAAAAAAAAATCAGCATTAAATGACTACTAAATTTTATTGTTTTAATAATTACACATTACTTAACTCTAGGTTACTTAAAATAACCTGGTGACTAAGGCATGATGTTAAAAACCCAAATTCTGCTTTTTTTTTCATTAGAAAATCCTAATCAGACATCCTAATAGCAAGCATATTAAACTTATTAACAGTACTGAAAAGCCCATGTTCTCATCAAGTATCCAATAATTCCTATTTTTATTCTTAAATTTCCTGTACCACATCTATTGAACCTTTCAAAAATTAAATTCAAAATCTAAGATAGTAAACTAGTGGATTAAATTCTTCCTGAATAACTGCTTATCCTCCTAAAATCAAATGGGACAAAAATGTCACTTACCACCAATTTGATATCACATTCGTCATTTTGTTCAAGATTTGTTGCAGACCCATCCTCTGTTCTGTAACATTAAAACATACCCTCAGACGACAAAATCATCCAGACCCTATCAGTAATATACTGTCATGATCTACAACTAAAATAGCAGTATTAGTAAGGAGAAAAATTATGTTGTCATGTAGGACATCCCAAAACGGATGGCTCATGTGCCAAGCTCAAAGCTCAACTACAACCCAGATGGCTTATTTTATCTGTGCCTCCCCATCAATGTTAATGTATAAACAAATCCATAACATAATATGTAACAAGTAACACAACAAATAACATCTAACAGGTAACTTGTAACACATGTAACACCAAAATTTAAAAACTTTTAATTTGATAAAATCTAGGACCAAGGAGCACCTGGGTGGCTCAGGTCATGGTCTCAGGATCCTAGACTGAGCCCCGCATCAGGCTCTCCGCTCAGCAGGAAGCCTGCTTCCCCTCTCTGCCTGCCTGTGATCTCTATCAATTAAATAAATAAAATCCCCCCCCCCCCAAAAAAACAAAACAAAAAACCCTAGGACCAAAATTATGTCACATGATTAAACTCACTCTGACTCTTCAATAGGCGAGAGAGCTCCATCATCATCCAAGTATTTGTATCTACGACTGTCAAAATCTTCTTTTTCTAAATCTTCACCAACATTCATTTGTTTCAAGGATTCCTTGAGGTAGTATTCATACTTCAGTTTTTCGAGGTAGTTGAAAAATCCTCTTGCCACTGCTTGCTAAATATCAAAAACACTTCATGTAATGATGTTACAAAATACAGAATTTTCTTCCATGAGTTAGCAGATGCCGTATGTTCCAAAACGGAAAGGATCCCTTTACCACAGACTCCTAAGCGGTCTTGAATTACTCACTCTGCTGTATATGGATCACATATACCCGATGCTAGCTGCAAGAGGAATCCACTATCTACCTAGCACGTTATCAAATTTACCTAAGTTGGTATACCAAGAAAAACTCAGCACATATCTTGTATTGTTTGGGGATTTCTAAAGACATTTTTAAATACAAAGAGAAACAAATCCCATGTTCATATAATCAGCTTAAAACATAAAAGGTCAGTATTCTTTCAAACCACCCATTCTAGAGCAAAAGATTATAAATTATGCAATCATTTAACTCAAGTATTTGAGAGCCTAATGCTAAAAAAGTTTTTTGTCAGGCAATTGTCAAAATCGAATATTCAGTACCTGAAAGAAAATGGCCTCCACGGAAGCCACTACACATAGAAGATATGGGTGGGCTTGACTTAGGTTACTGTAAAACTGGGAATCACTAGAGTTTTAAGGATGATATTTAAAGACCTGGTGAGATCAAGGGATTTTGTATCAACAGCCTTGAAGCACCTCATAAATGGGTATATTCACTGAATATACCCAGGTGAAGTCTGTGCGAAAGGATAGATTGGTCCTGAAGTGGCAGTAAGTCTGTACAGAAGAGCATTATCGAAGTTACAGATTCTATCCATGTCCCTCCAGCCGTATCTAAATTCTCAAAGTGGCCAACAAGTCATTTCAGACATTTCAGCTATGCGTATCCACACAGATAAAATACTGGCTCACCTCAAAGGTTAAAATTTTTCTCCAAGGTAATGGTTTTCTTGCATTCTCAGATTCTAAAAATGGGAACCCAGATCCTTTGTCTTGAACTTGTTTCTTATTTATTTGGGAACGTCTACTGTTTTTTCTCCCGGTTGGTCTTCCTCTTGGTCTTCCTGTTGGTTTGTATTTCTTCTTTTTACGTTTTCTTTTTTTGAATCTCTCAAAAATAGCTTTTAAAGTCAATGGTCTTGGTTCAAAAGATGAGTCACTAGATGAATCCCTTGCTTGAGCAACTTTAGGTGAATGAACAAACTTTCTAGTACGGTTTCTTTGCACCCTTTTAGGTGAGACACACTGAGTTTTAAATAAGCTGCTACCAGAAGAAGAGCTATCACTAGAAAAAAGGGGAAAAAATTAATTGTACTTTTATATTACTGAATGCTTATTACCATAAGATACTTTTCTTCCACAGACCAAAAGCAGGAAAATATGCTCAAGATAATTTTTAAGATGGGCTCAGGACTAAACTAAGATCTTGTTCTGACCACCTAAAATGGACCATAATGTCATGTGCCATAATGCCATAGCACTTACCAAAAAATTACCTTCCAAGAGAAATAATTTTAATTTCCAAAGGCAGTTTTGTTTACTGCTAGAGCTTGCTCTAAGTAAGACAAAAGTAGCCTAGCAAACATATTTAATTTCAATACAACAGAAATGCTGATTTGATTTCACAGTTAAGTAGCCATTTCCATCATGTATACACATGTGCCAGCACTATTATAATGTGCATTACCTGAACAAGTTGATTTTTTAAGCAATATACCCCACTGATACCTATATTCCTGTTGTAAGATTAGGATGATTTAGCCAGGAAGAGATACCAAACTGGCCCAGAGAATACTCGCCTGTTTTCCCAGGATTAAGAATGTGTCCCACTGTTAACTACATACATAAACTGAAGACCCGTGTAAAACAAGTTCTTTTTCTTTCCTTATTCTTGAAAATAATCTCTATTGCTTATCCAGTAATAAAAATACAGTGACGTTATCAGCAAATCTAATCAGTTTTGCAGTAAAAATCTAGTGGGAGTTGATTAAAATAGCACCTACCTTTCACTGTCAATTTCCACAGCTGAATTAGATGCCATTACAGAGTTGAGAAAATTCACTCCCGTTACATACTCTCCCAAGTCCTTCTCCAAATTGTTTATTCACCACTTGTAATTTGCTTCAGAATTCTGACAATTCAGTAAACGTGATGTAGTTTCTCTGAACAATGCCCACAGAGCTAGTATCCCAGTAATACAAAATTGGATGTGGTCAGATTATGTCACATTTTATATAAATCAAGGCAAAAATCATATACTAGGCCCTTAAAGATTTTTATGTAAGAATCATCCATTTCAAATCAAATTCTAAAATCTAGAAACTGAATTCCCAATTTCCATTTTTCAGCTGTCTTCTCAATCTATCCAGTGGAGTAAGATTCCAGAACAGTACTGTCATTTCCAAAAAAAAAAAAGGATTAAACATCATCCCATGATACAAAATGTAATTGTACTAACTACGTAATATACAATTAATAGTATTCACATACAATTAATGGCCAAAAGCCATTTTTCAAGAGCCGATGGGAACTCCTTGGAAAAACTTCCACATACAAAGTCAGAAGGCAGTGTTGCTTCATTGTATCAGGAGAAATAATCAGCATTTACTAGATCAATCCAAACTTACTGGATTTCCATTTACAGCCTCTTCTCATTCACCAAAGTCACTCTGAAACCTCTTCCTTGGCATATTACCTCCTTGCCATTATGAGTACCAACTAACAAGTTATGAATTCTCACCTTTTTTTTTTTTTTAAAGATTTTATTTATTTATTTGACAGAGAGAAATCACAAGTAGGCAGAGAAGCAGGCAGAGAGAGAGGAGGAAGCAGGCTCCCTGCCGAGCAGAAAGCCCGATGCGGGGCTCGAACCCAGGACCTGGGATCATGACCTGAGCCGAAGGCAGCGGCTTAACCCACTGAGCCACCCAGGCGTCGGAATTCTCACTTTTCAATGAAAAGCTAACAGACCACACAATGGTGCCCTTTGTCTTTTTATAATCTCATTGGAAAATCTGACAATAGTGGGCAAAAAAGGAGAAAGGTCTATTTTACTACTTCATCTCCCTTACAGGGGTACCAACATTCTTCCGTTTTAGCGTTGTCTTTAGTATACTTGAGAATGACAACAGAGTAGTAAAGAAAGCAATCCTAGGATAAAATGACAAAATAGATCAAATACAAGAAATCATAAAGATCAGGAAGATCTTAAGAGATCTGCAAAATGTACGATGGACTGTGGTAATTTCACAGTATGTTCTTTTTTTTTTTTTTAAACACGAAAACCTAAGTATTCAGAAATAACTGCTCAAAAACGAAATTTAGCAAAAATTGGGTCCAACGGCACTGCTGTTATACCAAGAGGTTAGGTCTGTCTTTCAAATATCAGCACATTATTACAGCACAGTGGCGTTAACTCAAAAAACCGCTTTTCCGGAAACCGTGCAGAAAACATTGCTAACCAGCGTACTTGCTATATCCAAAGATCCGGCGGAGAGGCGGCGCGCTTTCGCAGTGCTAACAATCCCTCCAACCTCTTACTATGCCTGACCTTGGGGCGAGTGTCTCCAGGAAGCACCTTACCTCACCTCCTGCACGGAAGGCGTCAGAAATGCTCACCTCGCACTCACGAAAAATCACAAAACATGTACTTGTCCATAACGCCTAATTTTAACATCTGCATCCAAACACAAGGCAGAACGCCCATGAACGCGTCCGTGCGGGCCACACAGTGCGGCCACGAAGCCCTCCGCCCTCGGGGCCTGCTTTCCGCGGCTCGAGCCTCCCGAGCAATGCAGGGATCCCGGGAAAAGCCAGCTCCTCTCGCTCACCAGGCCCAAGAGTCCTACCTTATTCCTACCCACCCAGGTTGGCAAATGGCTTGTACCAAAACTGCCGGCCCACGAAGGGCCTTTGCGGCTTACTCGCACCCCGCAACGCAGGCCTTGGAGGTCTGCATTTGGCCACGCCAAACCTCAGCTCCCCACGGCCTACCACAGCTCACCTCCACAACCTCGCGGAATGAAAGGAGGGATTCTTCCGCGACCCAGCTACTAGTGGGGGCGAAATCTCGCGAGAACAGTTGAACGCCACGAGGAAAGGGCGCCATTTTGACAGCCGCGAGGGGTGGGGCGGTGGGCGGTTCCTGAACGCCCAAAAGCGGAGGAGGCGGGGTTGACAGACAAAATCAGGATTCAGGTGCGGATTTCGTTTACCTAATGGGTAAATAGGATAGCTTAGAACGTGTCCGCTAATGACAAGAATAAATTGTGGGGCCAACTAAACCGGGTGGATGTGAACTGAGAGGAGTCAGCCGCTCGGCTGTTTCCGGTGTCTCTCATTTGCTGAACTGTCTTCGGATTTTCCAAAGACTTCGGGGGTCCGTGCGTGGCGGTGAGTGTGGTGCCGGCTGTGTTTGGTCATGTCTGCTTTTGCCTTCAAAAATAGTGAAACTGTGTGAAACTGTGACGGGCTTGTGCTTTGACCGTGACCCCAAATGCGTGACCTTTGTTCTGGAAGCCGGTGTTACTCCATAGCACACCCTATTCCCCTCTCCAACTTTGGACTTGTTTCGTTAGCTCACTCTTGCCCTCCAGACTGAGAGTCAGTGTCCAGGACACTACAATTCGTATTTTGTAGCTCACACAGACATGTATTTTGTTCCTGCTAGAACAGTGGAAACTGCCCAAAACTAACTCACCTATACTTTTTTTTTTTTTTTTTTACTTCTTGATATATACTCATTCTACCAACACTATGGAATCCCAGGACTTTGAGTCTCGCAGAACTCCCACAGATGGTGGGTCCACCAGATTTCTGCACTCATGGGTTTCACAAATGCTTTATGTGAATGAGGTAGCAAGGAATAGTGGTGGACACCTTGCCCCTCTGGCCTCTGATTCCGCACATGCTCCATTGTCCTATTGGCCTTAAAAGCTCAAATAAAAGGTTAAGAATTTCAGGGTGGTGAAAACAGAGCGTTAAACCAGTGCCATTCTGAGCACATGGTCCTGTGTCATTATACTAGTTGCACACCCCTGAGGCCAGCCCTATCCCAGAGCCTTATGAGTCTGAAATAGCGTAAATATTCAATAAATAACTATGGCTGAACTGGTGCTCACTAGGAAGGCACTTGGAAGACAGAACCACAGCCCTCTCTTCAGAAATCATGGCGTAGGTGGAGGAAACAAAGCAAACAGAGGATAACTCTGAGTGCTATAAGATGGCTCTGTACAGATTCTTCCTTTGAGGAGCTGAAATGTGTCATTCCAACACAGGTTAACCCACATGGTAGAATGTGAGCATTTCTGGCTTTACAGTGGGCTACATTTGATTTTGAGTTATTTCTGCCATTTTAATAGCTGAGTGATCTCAAGTAAATAATATATTCTCTCTGGCCTATTCCTCTTTTGAAAATGAGATTTATAGTATCTATTTGGTGTGAGAGGTTCTGCGAGATTGTCAGGTGCCTAACATGGTACCTATTATGTTGACCAGCAAGCTGTCAATAAATAGTTATCAGCTTGGTTGCTAGAGTTGGTCTACCCTGTTGGGCACTGTCTCTGCAGCTCCACTTATCCAACTACCTCCTCTTTTCTTCCCTTGTCTAGACCCTCCTTCTGGGCTACTGACTCCCAGCAATGGAATCTGGAGGGTAAATATCCTGTGCTTCCTTATGGCCCAAAACTGTCCTCCTAGAGCCACACCTGAGTTTATATTAGAACCTTTCTAACCCCCTTCTCTCATCACTCCAGCTCCAACCTCCCCTCCTCTCTCCCACATAAACACATTTATATACACATTACCACACTGCCTGCTGGGCTATTGGCTTGCCTCAAGTTCTACATTTCCAAACCAGTTATTCAACTATATCCTCCCCAGGGTTGGACTTTGTTTTTATTTTGGTGGGGAAAGGAAACAAACAAAAAAATCTGACCTTTTAAAGACAGCAAAGGTATAAAATTAGGATTGTATTTGAATTTAAACTTGCCTTTATTATTTCTACTATAAACAGAAATATCTAGAGTGCTTTATTTTCCTCATTATAAATAGACCATTGAGCAGATTTTGACATGTTCTTTTTTTTTTTTTTTAAGATTTTATTTATTTATTTGACACATACACACAGAAAGCACAGCCAGGGTGACCAGCAGAGGGAAAGGGAGAAGTAGGCCCTCTGCAGAGGAGGGGGAGCCCAATGTGGACCTTGATCCCAGGACCCCAGGATTATGACCTGAGCCAAAGGCAGCTGCTTAACCAACTGAGCCACCCAGGAGCCCTGACATGTTCTTAATTAGTACTTTTTGATAAAGAAAATATAAGAGGGACGCCTGGGTGGCTTAGTTGGTTAAGCGGCTGCCTTCGGCTCAGGTCATGATCCCAGCGTCCTGGGATCGAGTCCCACATCGGGCTCCTTGCTCGGCGGGGAGCCTGCTTCTCCCTCTGCCTCTGCCTGCCTCTTCTGTCTGCCTGTGCTCGCTCACTCTCTCTCCCTCCGTCTCTGACAAATAAATAAATAAAATCTTTAAAAAATATATACATATATATAAGATATTAACATTTGGAAAATCTAGGTGAAGAGTATACAGAAATATTTATATGTATTTTCTGTCCATCTGGAATTAATCTTAAAAAAAAAGTTAAAATGTTTCATTCCTGAACAGTTATAGATTGTTCAACTGAAAAATATGCTTGAGATCATTGAAATATGATTATATAGAACTTTGGGCCCATTATCAACAGTTGATATTTTATTTGGGAGACTATGCATATAATGTAATTTAAGGTTAATAAAAGTTGGTATTTGATGAAGTACTTATGTAAATGTTAAGTCCTAAATGTATGAGATTTGCATGTTTGTGGAGGATGTGTTGTTTGAAATTATCATCAAAAGCAGAAACCCAGGGATGCCTGGTGGCTCAGTCGGTTTTAGGTTCTTAAACTAAGGTGTTCTTAAACACCTCAGGTTATGATCCCAAAGTTCTGGGATAAAGTCTCACATAGGTCTCCTTGCTCAGCAGGGAGCCTGTTTCTCCCTCTGCCTGCTGCTCCCTCTGCTTGTGTGCTCTTTCTCTCTCTCTCTCTCTCTCTGACAAATAAATAAGATCTTAAAACAAAACAAAAACCAGTAACCCAGTTTCTAAGAAACCTGTGACTCTTTGGAAAATTAAAAAAAAAAAAAAAAAATGGGGGCAGGTGGGATTTTCCAAGTGATATTGAAAGACCACCTTTTACTTACTAAGAAAGCTTGTAGCAGACTGTTGAGATTAATAATTAATGAGGTGTTCCATTAACAACTTTAATGAGAATCTGAATAGTGCTCTTAGAAACTCTAAGAGTTTCTTAAAAGAGTTTTGCTTGCATTTTTTGTTGCAACTGGCTGAGATTCTCTGCCCACCTCACATTAATTTTGGTTGAGTTTTTTTTTTTTCTTCATTTTATTTACTTCCCTCTGCTTGCACAGCTTATCACCTGAACACTTAAGGTAAGATACTAATCTCTGTGGATCTATGCCTACCTATTGTAAAATATGCTTAGCATATATATTTTTTTTAAGATTTTATTTATTTGTTTGACAGAGATCACAAGTAGGCAGAGAGGCAGGCATGGCCGGGTGGAGTGGGCAAAAGCTTCCTGCTCGGCAGGGAGCCCGATGCAGGGCTCTATCCTGGACGATGTGATCATGATCTGAGCCAAAGGCAGAGGCTTTAACCCACTGAGCCACCCAGGTGCCCCTGCTTAGCATATATTTTTAAAACATCAAACTATAAT